ATAAATCACTATATAAATCACTATATAAATCACTATATAAATCATAAATCACGATTAAAGGCTATAAAATTTAGAAGGTTGATTTGATCTTTCGGCAGGATTCTTTTTAGCATCCTCCCAAGTATCTAAAAGGGCTCTTTTAACATTTTCAAAACTCTCATCTGAGATTTGATAATGAAATGAAATTCTATTACCATGAACTTTAATATTGTATTTGTCACCATATTTATTGAAAAGTTCATCAGAAATACCGGCTTTTTCAAAATCAACAAAGACAAAGTTAGTATCTACTGGATACAATAAAGGAATGTTGTTGTCCTGACATAATTTACCCAATTCTTTTGCTTTAACATGAGAATTCTTCAATAACGGTAAGTTTTCATCAATTGCAGTTGAAGCCATAACCGCCAAGATCCCACTTTGTCTAATACCACCACCGTTTTGTTTTTTGAAATGATTAGCCTTTTTGATGAATTTTGAGTCACTAACTAAAACTGATCCAATTGGAGCACCTAAGGATTTACTCAAACATAAACTAACACTATCGAAATAAGAACAATATTTTTCAATAGATACTCCAGTTTCCACATGAGCATTCCATAACCTGGCACCGTCTAAGTGTAATCTTATTTCATTTTCACGACAAAATTTACTGATTTTTTCAATTTCATCAATTGGGAAAATCATTCCATGTAAAGTATTTTCTAAACTAATCAATTTTGTTGGTGCAAGATGAATATCTCCATCATCAGGTATAACATTAGGAATGATATCGTCTTCCAAAGTTAAGTATTTCCCGTTTTTAGGATGAATTGGTTGAATCATTGCTTGAGACAATGTAGACAATCCCCCAGCTTCATCCGCATAAATATGCCCACGATAATCACATAAAATTGAATATGGTGGTTGGAATAAATTGACCCTTACAGCAATTTGGTTTGATAGCGTCCCACTAACACAATATAATCCCGATTCCTTCCCAGCCAACTTAGCAACTTTCGCTTCTAATTGATTAGTTGAATCATCTTCATTATAAACGGCATCACCCAAGCTGGAAATAACCAATGACTTGATCATTGACGCCGTTGGCGTGGTGAACGTATCGCTTCTGAAATCGTTATGAGCTGGCCTTTTATCGAAATTGGACAAATCCATGGCTTCGTGGAGTATTAGTGAACAACTATTAAGTCCAACACCGAACAATATACGGATTTTTCATCGAGGTGAAAAAAATGTACGGGTGCACTTGGAATTTGCAACTTTATGAACCGTTCATGATATCATATTAAGATCACAGTATGAACTTTATTCGGTACTTAGTGTTCAGGTATACTTAATATTCAGGTATACTTAATATTCAAGTATAGAGTTCAGGAATAGTTCCAGGTGTAGTCTCCAGGTATAGTATTTCCTTATATTCAGGTATATGTAATTTTCAGGAATGGCATTCAGACACATATTCAGATATAGAAGAAAAGTATTCTTGTATACCAAGTCCAGGAACTCAAAACTCACGACGTTTAGAGCGTTCTAGAAACCATATCGCATCGGAGTATAGACATATGTCATCATATATGTATCCTGTTTTAATGGCTTATGCAATAACCACAGAACTATCGGAGTATAGAAAATGCTCTATGAAGTAATCACCGTCAGCCTCGGAGAATGGCCTCTGCTAATCCCCGGCTCAACTGTTCTTTACTGCGATTCTAACATTGGCTATCCAATAAGCGACACCTTGACAGTTCGAGTCCTGCTATTGTCCCTGCCAGCTAAAGCCCATCATTTCAGGTCGATAGGGTGATAAGGACGAGTACACTTGCCCAAAGCGGAATAGCTTAGCGGAACCCGCTAGACGCACCCGTGCACCACGCCGCTCTTTATACGCAAAACCGTTATATCAACGTCCCCCACTTTAATTAAAGTCCTTAGCGGAATTTGTTATCAAAAGCTATTTAAACGGAGGTAGTCCCAGTAGTATACTCAGCAGTAGAATAGGAAACCAGAACAGAATGTCGCTTTCATACGAGGTTAGTTTACCAGACGGTACCAAATTTAGTCAACCAGCCGGGTTGTTCATTAATAATGAATATGTTAAATCCAAATCAGGTAAGACCCTAGACTCAATTAATCCAGGAACTGGAGAGGTCAATGGACATGTTTACGCAGCCCAAGAAGAAGATGTTGATATTGCCGTGGCCGCTGCACGCGAAGCATTCAACAAGGGATGGAAGAAGAGTAGCGGAGTTGATCGAGCAAACTTATTATTTGCGTTTGCCAAAGAATTGAAGGACAATCGTGATTTATTAGGTTCAATTGAAGCTTGGGATAGTGGTAAGACCAAGGATCAAAATGCAGTCTACGATATTGATGAGTGTATTTCGTGTTTTGAATACTTTGCTGGATGGGCTGATAAAATCCAGGGTAAGGTTATTCAACATGATCCATTAAAATTGGCTTATACTGTTCACGAACCATTTGGGGTTTGTGGACAAATTATTCCATGGAACTATCCATTAGCAATGGCAGCCTGGAAATTAGCCCCAGCATTAGCTGCTGGTAACACTGTTGTATTAAAATCATCAGAAATTACTCCATTATCAATTTTATACTTAGCTCAATTTTTCAAAAAAGTTGGCTTCCCACCAGGGGTTGTCAATTTTATTAGTGGTTATGGTGCAGTTGCCGGTAAAGCGTTGGCTGAACATTTAGACGTTGATAAAATTGCCTTTACTGGGTCCACTGCCACTGGTAGAGTAATTCAAAAATTAGCTACATCAAATTTGAAAGCAGTAACTTTAGAATGTGGTGGTAAATCACCCTTGATTGTGAGAAAAGACGCTGACTTGGAGCAAGCAGTTAAATGGGCTGCTGTTGGGATCATGTCCAATCAAGGTCAAATCTGTACCTCAACTTCTAGAATCTATGTCCAACAAGAAGTTTACGATGAGTTTGTTACCATGTTTGCCAAACACGTTGAAGAAGAGTATAAACAAGGCCATGTCTTTGAATCCGATGCCGTTGTTGGTCCTCAAGTTTCTCAACAACAATACGATAAAATCTTATCATATATAGACATTGGTAAAAAAGAAGGTGCTAGATTGGTCCTTGGTGGTGAAAAAAATACCGATCCAAAATTAAAGGATGGTTACTTCATCAAACCAACCATTTTCGCAGATGTGAAACCAACCCATCGTATTGTAAATGAAGAAATCTTTGGTCCAGTCGTTTCTGTTGGTAAATTCGTCGATGATGATGAAGCCATCAAATATGCAAACCAAACTGAATACGGGTTGGGTGCAGCCATCTTCACCAAGGATATCACCGTGGCCCACACCATGGCCAGTGACGTCCAAGCTGGTATGGTTTGGATCAATTCTTCCAACGATTCCGACGTTCATATTCCTTTTGGTGGGGTCAAAATGAGTGGGATCGGTAGAGAATTGGGTGAGTACGGTTTGAACATGTACACCCAAGCCAAAGCCATCCACGTCAACTTGGGCAGTATGTTGTAGTAAGTATAAATATTTATTGAATATATACATATAATGATTGAGATGAAATTGTAGTAACCCCTATTCAGACTCACTCAAAGTGACAAACAAACCAAAAAAAAAAAAAAAAAAAAGACGTCGCAAACCAATTTGGGTGAAACTTTAAGTCTTATCCGAGCAACGATATATGAAATCGGTTAAATATTAAGCAAAACTAGTTGTTCTTCTTTAATTAAGGGTTAAATGATGATAAACACAAGTAAACCGGTGGTACTGGTGATACCAGGAAATATAATTAAGACCAAGCTGAAAAAAAATGGTGATAAAGTTGCAAGTTTGGATGTGAAATCACCAAAAAGCTGCTACGAAAGTGCTGGAGATGAAGAAGAAGAGGTGTTACGACCTGAGCAACCACCAAACCTGTTAATTGAAAGGTTACCAGAGCATATTGTATTACAAGTGTTTCAATACGTTGACCAATTTGATCTTGTTAACCTAAGTTTGACATGCTCCAAGTTATATCCGATTGCAGTTGAAAGATTATATCAACGAGTCACGGTTGTATTGAGCGGAGAATTTGCAAAAGAGTATCAGAGTGATTCCCGTCAGTTTATCCGAGAGAATGGAATCAAGCATATGGATAGTTCTTTAATATTCAAGATACCCAATTTGATTAAATTTTTCAAAAGCTTACATAAGAATACAAAGTTGATTCAATTGGTTAAGTTTTTCATTTTTGATAAGTGTTATCCATATTTGAATGATATCAATCAGTTCCAGAGTGACTTGATTGAATTTTTCGGGAAATATCTGCACGAAATGAATTTTTTACACATTACCTTTATTGATTTTTTAAGTGGGATTAATAAGTTAACCAATTTTTTGAAAAATTCAAACATTCGAAACAAGATTTTTAAATTATTTGTTACCGATTTACCTAGTTTATATGAACCCAAGGTACCTAAAGGACTAACTAATTTATTTTTAATGTTGAAAGAAGAAGAGATTCTGGAGATTCTGGAGATTGATTTGAGTACTGAACCATTCAACCTTTTCAATTCGCTTTTCACCTTAACTTGCAGCACTAATAATCAATTTGGGTTAGAAATCTTGAAAAAATTTCAATTATTTAAGGATTTAAAATTGAATTTAAAAGGGTTAACCATATTCCATTGTCACAAAGAGAGTTTAATTGATGATAATTTCATTAGTTATGATGTCAAGAATGATGACGTGATATCAAAGATTGATAAGAAGTTAGAATTTGATATTATTGAAGAAAAAATCGAATTAAAGAAGTTGAATCATATTTATTTAAAGATTGACTGTTTTGAACATCGGATTAATAATTGTAATTGTTTTGAAAAATTTTTCAAAAAATTTAATCATTTTGTTGCCAAAAATGATGGATTATCCAATCTAACTAGTTTTGATATTGAGTTGTATCCGAATTATGAATGGTTGAGACCCCATCTGATGTGTGAGTATATCCTTAATCCATTGGGTGAATATATTAAGAATTTGAAAAATTTAGAAAGATTAACTCTTGATTTTTCAACTCCAGCTTTCAAAATGTTTGATAATGGGATTGAAATGTCAAGCATCTTATTAAATAAATTAAATGAACGGTTAATTGAATCATTTTTCCAAAATTTTAAAAATTGTGATTTTAATTTGAAAACTTTACAGTTACCAGATTTTTTAACTAGTTTCATCTACTATAAACCAGATTTTTATCAACTGTTCCTACATACTTGTCAATGCTATGGGTGTCAATTAGTTCTTGACCGATTAAAACAAGATTTCTATCCTTTAAACGACATTGATGAGGATTCGAATGATTTAGATCTTGAAAGCACTTACTACATCCTAATTGGGTTTATATTGGGTAAACTCCAAGCCGACCGAGAAGTCTGTGTTCCCATTAAACAAAAGACTTTCAATTATAAAAATTATCCAATATTTAAAGGCCAACCCCATACCTTACATTATAATTATCATAATAAAAATTCTTGTCCCTGTGAATTAGAAAATGATCCTCTTGGCTTGAAAGTCGACAATATAGATAACCTAGTCACCATCTATATCATCCATCAATTGAATCCCTTCGTCGACTACTTATCCACCATTTTCACCAACCTAGAAAACTTGATGATTCATGGAATTTACTATGAGTATAATTCGGAATCCAAAGGCTTGACTCCGATCTTCGACCTTGCTGATTACCCAAACCATTTCCTCGATTCAAATCTCACTTGTACCAAATCTGACCTACCCTTTGCTTATTTTAGATAATTATTTATTTAATGAAGTTATGATTGTATCTAATTTTGTAGTATACGTCATGTGCGACTCTCATGCTTTTACTATGTACAAGGTTGACTCGTAGCTTAATTGAGTTAGCTTTTAACAAGTAACGTCTTTCTACAAGTAACGGCCTTCAACAAAATTAACTCAAAAAAAAAAAAAAAAATGAAAATTAATTAATTCAAACAACTTCCAACACATAACAACTCTATACTAATACACCGTCTCGTCAGTTCTGTCACTTTTTAGTGTTTCCCGGTTGTTGGCAGTCTTTTTTCGGTGGGTGGTTTTCGCTTTCAGTGCACTAATCTCTGAGTTTTTTCTTTTTGTTCATTTTTGTTTCTCTTTTTTTTTTTTTTTTTTTTTTTTTTNTTTTTTTTTTTTTTTTTTTTTTTTTTTTTTTTTTTTTTTCAAAGTCCCCTTTTTTAATTATCCAACGATTTGAACTTTCCTTCAAGTAGCTTTAGTTTCTTTAGTTACATAATGGATTTGAATCCTAATAGTACTATAAGAGATTACATACCTGGCAATGGGTATGATGGGAACCTAAACGATTCTTTTCTACAAAGTCCAATGAACGTTCCTACAGCAGGTCAACAACAAAATAGTAATCAACACCGATTTCAACAACTTCAACAAGCACAATTTAGTCCCCCATTATCTTCGCATCAGCAGTCACCTCCTCCGGGTCCACAGCAGTCGTTTAACGGGGGGCCTCAACAAAGAGTCAATGGAGGTATGAATTCCCGTAAAATGTCAGTCAACGTAAACTTATCAAACCAACAGCAGACTCAGACCCCGTTACATACTCCCAAACAGAGTCTTCCTCAAACCAGACCCGGCGAATCGTATGTGAGCGATGTATTCGCCAAAAATTCTAATGAATTATTACTTGCTCACTTATATAATTACTTAATTGAGAATGGGCATCAGGAAAGTGCCAAGTCGTTGTTACTGGAACTGAAGAACGTACCCCAGAATAAAGATGCCAATAAATTGAAGAAAAAACCTGACTTGTTGCCGGTTGATATGTCTTTGGATAATTCAAACAACTTTTTATTAGAATGGTGGTCTTTAATGTGGAGTGTCCAATCAAGTATCAATCCAAAATTGAACCAGTTATATAACAATCCTCAGCAATTTCAATACCAGCAGCAGCAGCAGCAGCAACAACAACAACAACATCAATTTGTGCAGCCTCAACAAAAGCCATTCCGTCAACCACAACCGCCTTCAAACGTTGTTCCAATGATGCAGAATGCCCATTCAAAACCACCTCATCTTGCACAACAACAACAACAACAACAACAACAACACCCACCTCAACCGCCTCAACCACTTCAACAGCCAGTAGCTCAGCAGCAACAACAACAGCCTAAAAATCCAAACATTGCCCAGTACCAACAACAATTGAAGTTACAACAAATGATGGTCCAGTATCAGCAACAACAAGCATTGCAACAAAGACAGAATAAAGGAGTTCTTTTGCAATCGCCTTTAATCCCGACTTCGCAGCAAGTTCAGCAGGTACAACAACAGTCAAGTCAAATCAATCAGTCCCCAGTGCCATTCAATCAGTCAAACAACTCTAAATTCAATAATGAAGCCTTGAACGATTATCAAATGAATTTGCTTATGATGGAAAATCAAAATAACATCCAGAAAAAACAGTTCATGATGATGAAACAACAACAAGCTCAATCACAGGCCCAACAACAATTAGCAGCCCAAGCCCAGGCAGCAGCCCAAGCTCAAGCAGCAGCCCAAGCTCAAGCAGCAGCCCAAGCCCAGCAACAACAGGCACATCAACAGGCGCAACAACAAGCGCAACAACAGGCACAACAACCACCACCAGTCGTCTCGCAAGCCAACTCGCTTAATCTAAATGAAACCAACAAGAATGGTGTCCAACAGAGAATGATGCAACAACAATTATCGATGCCAGCATCAAACGGTGATATCATTGAAGATCATGATAACTTCGACATTATGAAAACAACTTCCCATCACTCGCAAAATTTTGAAGACGGGTTATTAATGAACGATGGAATTTTCAATACCAATACTAATCTGGGCACAAATAATGAAAACAACGATGATTGGAATAAAATGTCCTTATTACATCTGGAAGATTGGCTTAGTGGTATTGGAAGTGGATCTGCATTCAACTAAATTGTAAAATAAATGCAAAAAAAAATTATTAAAACTAACTAGCTGAAAAAAAAAAATATTCATTTGCATAAACTTTATTCAAACTTTATTTAACCTTCCCTTTCCCCTTTTCGTTTAATTTCAATTCTCTAATTTCCTTTTTTCATCTCCTTGATTCAAATCTGGTGAATTAATAACTTTTTTCCTTCATTTCTTTAGACCCATTAAAAAGAGAGAATAAAATCTTACAACCTCTGGGTTTTTCTTCTTCAGTTCTATTCCTATTTATTTATAAAGTTTCTCCTTACTTTTAATCATAATTTATTCATATGAATCCACAACGTATACCACCTTTTTGTATCGAAAAATAATCTAATTATTATTCGGAGTTTTCAGACTTACAGATTTAACAGCCTACGTTTTGTCTCATTTGTCTAAGTGTTGTTCGCCTTTCCTTGTCAAGATCCGTCTGTATTTTTCATATGCTCTATGCATTATCTCCTTACGGATCAGCCCATGGCAAGTATAACATCACCTCGAAAAAAGAAAACCTGGCCCTACTCGTTTCCGATAGCCATCATCTCTATCTTGTATTCCCCCCCTGCGACGTTGCATATCCAAGACCCCGTCATTAAATCAGCAACCTGGTTCTCGTTGGGTTTGTTATTCTTTTCCCTTTCCGTTTGAGTTTTTTGCAACCCAATGAGCCGTGGTTCTTTTTTCGTTCTGTTGATGTGTTTTTTTCCTCTGTTTGTTTGGCTAGGGTTCTTTGTGTTTACCGTTTTCTTACTCCACGCAGCCCTCTGTTGTATTTCCGTGGCTATTCCCTCTCCTTGTAGTGTGCTTTCATCGTGCTGGAGCTTTCAACTGGTTTTTGGTTATCTTTTAGTTGTAAAAAGAGACTGCACAATTTGCTTCCCGATTAGGAAACAAACAACAACAGCTCAAAAACAAAAAAAAAAAAAAAAAAAGGTGGAGGAAGATCAAAACAATTCCAACATCAACTACTCTTCTTCTTGATAAACCAGTTAGGATTGGCTGATTGAAGAGAGTTACGGTACGGAGATACACGGAGCTGCGACTTTGCTGATAGGTTTTTTGCTGAAGCGGGAGATATTAAACGGTCCAGGAAAGATCAAGAGATCAAATTAGCCGCTGATTCAGATGAATAGTACAACTTGGTGATGAATTTTGATAGATTTAATCCTCTATCGAGTTACCTATCCAACAATGGGGTTGAGGTTAGTGATTGGGGGATTGAAGAGTCGACGACGATGTCGTCGCCGACGTTATCGAACCAAAATATGAATTTTAATTCAAATCCAAATTTACCGCCTCCTCCTTCATTGAATCACTTGATAAGCAATTCGAAATCTCAGCATCCAAGTGCTAAGCATTTCCATCATTATGGATTGGTTTCGCCGTCCTCGATCTATCCTATCGATCAGGATTTTGATAATAGAGATTTCATGTATTATTATGCGAAATATAATCCTCAGCCGTTAGTGTCGAATACCGAGAATATTGATAAATTTATCAAGAAGTATCTTTGTTTAAATAATGTTAATGGAGAGTTTGTTGAAAGGTTCAAGTATAATTTGATAATATCAGATTTATTGGATGATTCAATGATTTTATCTAAAAATGAAGCTTCTTTAAACACTTTGATGTTGAACGATGTTAAAAATTCTAATAGCTCATTTCCAACTTTGATTCGTGATTTGAATCATGATGGAACTGAATTACTCATTTATCAAAAAAACTTTCGATTGAAGTTCCCCGATAATTTAAGTAATCCTTCCTTAATATTGACTTGCATCTCATTGATAATCTTTTTATTAAAACAGAATTTAAAAAATTCACAATCTAAATTATCGCATGCATCTAAATTGAAAATGTTTAAAATTTTATTAATAGCGGCTACTAAATTAATCAATTATAAAAGAATCAATTCCGTTATTCAATCGAAAAAGATTTTAAATCTCTTAAATGAGTTCTTAATTTCAAATTATAAAATTAATAAGAAATTAATTGTTAATTTAATCAATTTGAAAGAATTGGATTTGTTTAAATTCATGAATCCAAAAAATCTGAACTCCACAATCTTAAAACATCATATTGAAGAATTGAAGCATCATTTAGATTACTCATTGTCGTTTTTGATATTTAATTTGAAAAATTCAATCATTAAAATTTTACCATTTTTAAATGGTGAAATTTTAGAGAAATATTGTCATGTTAATAATATTGATATTAATAACTTGTTATTGAGTGATTTCGATGAGGAGATTATCGATGATTCTTTAAATGACTCTCAAAAAACCATTTATCGTTTGACTATAAAAATGAATAAATTTAACCAGTTAAGAAAACTTTTAATAAGTCAATTACTCACCTTCAATGAACCATTTCATAAGAATTTCTTTCTTTGTAAACTTTGGGATCATTTTAATATCAATGAAACTGAAATCCATGAAATCAATAAAAATATTATCTTTTTCGAAAAATTGAATGTTTTGGAAAATATATTTAACGATCATAATTCAACAGTGAATAACTTTAATATGATATTTGAAAATTTTGAAAAATTAGCTAAAATGAAGTTAGAGTCTTTCAATTATCAAAACCCAAAAAATGAAGATTTGAAAAATCAAAATGTTTTGAAAATTAATAATGACCCATCTGAAATAATTCAAATTGATGAATCAAATATAAATAATTTGATTTCTAAGTTATCTAACTTAACTACAAATTTAAAATTTTTCAAGAAATATAGTCATTCAATTTCAAATATGGATAATATCGATGAGTTTAATGAAAAGTTGATGATTTTTAACCAATTTAATGAAGAAATCAATCTAATAAAAGAAATATATCAATCGAACTTGAATGATTTACAAAATGAATTATATCATAAATTTGATGAAAACTCGAATCTTAATTCTCCTTCTTCCAGCATATCCCAAAAGCATAAATCGAATTCAAGTATTAATAGTAATCCTGATTCGAATCAACCATTTAATTTAAAATCATTCCACACAACTACTTCCAACTCTAACACTTCTACCTCTATTAAAAAAAGGTTCTCATTACCCGCTCATACAAATACTAATAAGAATATTACGCCTGCATCAAGTCCCATTATTCCACAAACACCTGATTCATCTTTACCCTCTAAATATCCTAATAGTAGGGTAAATGATGGAACTTCTCCAAGCCTCAACTCAAACGACAAAAAATATAAACGCTTATCAACGGGTTTACAACTTGGTTTATTAACTGTTTTTGAAGAACCAGATAAAAACGGTGACCAAACTCGACTGTCTACTTCTTCAACGCATCGTAGGACAACTTCAAATACTTCGATCATGTCAGCATCCGCAAACAAGCTAGATAGGCCAGCCTCGATTCATCCCAATAATGATAAACGCACAGTATCTTATGACGATAACTACATTAATATATTACCACCGAATAACTACGAGACTTATAATCAGGCTACTTTCGACTCATTAACTAAGAGAATAAACTTGAGAAACTCTGGTTTCAATAATAGTAATCATAATTCAAATAGATTTTCGATGAACTCCTTAAATTCAAATATAAGTGGGTTAAGTGATCTTCTAACTTCAACTCAAATAACATCATTTGATGATGACGATGGTACGGTCAATGGCAATGGTATTCAAACTGTAAATAATGCAGGTCATTTATCAAAAGAAGAACTTAAATCAAGATTGGAAGAAAGTTTTAATAGAATTTACAATTTAGAACATGAAAATGAAACCTTAAAGTCACGAAATAATACCAATGATTCAAATATAATTTCTCCCGATTCAACAATCAACAAACCGTCTTTGGCGAATCTAAATTCGGACCACATCGCGGAGTCATCATCAAATGATGTTGAAAATGAGTTTCTCACAAGTCATAACGATACCAATAAGAACCATACTTTTCTAGATCAACTAGAAGAGACATTGAACAACAAAGTAGAGTCTGGATCCGCTTTATCATAATTCCAAGTGTATTTTTTTATTTTTTACTTTTTTTTATCTTTAGCTTTTATTTATTCCCTCTAGATTTCATTTTATTTCATGCTACTACTTTTTTTTTTACTCTTTATTTAATTTTTCAATTCCAAGTGTTCAATGTGGCTCTATAATATACCTAGCGATCTACAATTCTTGCATGTAAGCTTAGTAAAATTACGACTTCCGAATTTTTTTCAAGATTTTATACAGCATGATTCCTAATGAAGTAAATTATGAAGAGATGATATAAAACAACGTTTCATTGAAACGAGAAGAGAATAACTTAATAAAAATATAATACTATAGGGAGAAGAAAAACATTATTAATTACAGTAATTTAACAATTATAATAAATAGTAACCTCCTAAATACCTGGAGTTACAGTTCCTGAAGGATTTTTTGAAAATTCACCTTCATCTTCATGGTACATTTCAGCCAAGTTCTTATCTAAGGATTCTTTGCTATCATTTCCATTATCTTGAAGGTTTGATTCTGAATCATTAGCGCTTTCAACAGTCTTCTTATCAGATGAGTCTGGTTGAATCGACGAATTGGATGCACTGTCATCATCACCACCCAATAAAAGGAAGGCAACATCTTTCTTCTTATTAGCAGCCTCTTCTTTCTTATTGACCAACGTAGATTTTCCTTCCATAACGACTTGTTGAACTTGTTCTTTTTGTTTTGCACGGTCTCTCATTCTTTCTTCAATTGTACCTCTGGCCAATAATCTATAAACAGTAACTTGTTTGGTTTGACCTAATCTATGAGCTCTATCCATAGCTTGTGAATCAATTGTTGGATTCCAATCAGAATCATAAAAGATGACTGTATCAGCAGCAGTTAAATTAATACCCAACCCCCCAGCTCTGGTCGATAATAAAAATACAAAAATTTCCGGTTTTGTTTGCCAATCATGAACCAAGTCTCTTCTATCATCTAATTTAGAGGAACCATCTAATCTAATATATTTATGCTGTCTGTAACTTAAATACTCTTCCATTAAATCCATCATTTTAGTCATTTGGAAATAAACTAAAACACGGTGATCATTTTGTTTTAATTCAACCAACAACTTGTCCAAGGTTGCCAATTTACCTGATTCAGTAATGAATCTAGTCATGGATGGCATTCTTATATTAGAGTAATCAATTAATTTATTAGTAGATCTAGGCAACATGTTTGATTTTGGATAAGAATCGATTGGTTGATTATGTTGCAAGTAAGACAATTCACTTTCGAGGGACAATGGCATTAAAGCAGATCTTACTTTTTCATCGAATAATGAGTCGTGCCATTTATTTGGGAATGAAGCTTCGTGGCAAACTAATGTTATGGGTGCAGCCGTTGCGACTGGTTCAGCAGCAGGAGGTAAAACATTTAAATACATATCTTCGTAACTTTTAGTTTGAATTGAATATAATTCCTTCATATGCACTGAGTTTGAAATGGAAGCACTATTATTATTATAATCGTTGATCAAAAGCTTCTTATGTACTGGGATAAATTTATCATCTTCATCATAAACATATTTGAGTCTATTAATTTCATCATAATTTGAATCATTATAACTTTGATGATCAATTGCCCTTTCCAATAAATTTTGATGGCTTATAGAATTCAATTCTTGTGGTGATTTATCAACAAATCTTAACCAATCGAAGGTCTTATTCGAATGATCATTGACATTAGAAGGATGATAGATATTGAACATTTCAGATATTTTATTCCTAGATCCAACGTTGTTATCGTAATCTGGTAATAAAATTTCGTCATAGATTAATCTTGGTAAATTGAATCTTATTAAATTTTCGGTTGAATATTTCAATTCCAATTCATTTGATTCCCTTAAAAATGAACTAGTTTCAGCAAATTTTGATAATGAAAGACTTGATTTAACATCGGCTCTTTCGAATAAATCTGGATGGTTACAAACTTTTCTAAATTGCATGACTAAATTCATCAATGACTGACTATCATCATTATTCGTAGTGTCTAAGATATCCATGATTGAAATTTGAGATTTTAACATTTGATAATACTTCTTTTGACGGTTCGTTAAATCACAGAACAAATCAATTTCAACTTTATCACCTAATTCACTTTGAACATTCTTCTTAATACGTCTCAACATGAACGGCTTCAAAATAACGTGTAATCTTTTCAATTGTTGTTCATTTAATTTAGTATTTGATTGGGCATGACTTTCGATATCTTTTGAGAACCAATCACTAAATTCATCATGAGAATCGAATAATGAGGGCATAATGAAATGCAATAAAGCCCATAACTCCTGCATTGAATTTTGAATAGGAGTACCGGTTAATAATAAACGATTACGACTTGAAAAACTTAATAAAGATTTCCATCTTGATGACTGAGAAGATTTAATAGCTTGAGCTTCATCAAGAATCATATATTGCCATTTCATTTTTTGGAAATACGCAGCATCAGCAACAACTAATTGATAAGAAGTAACAAGTACATGAAATGGAGCATCTTTTCCATATCTCATACTTTTACGATCCCAGAATTTTCTCAAGACTTTACGATCTTTAGCATTCCCCCAGTACGGTAAAACCTTAAAATCCGGCACGAATTTCGTAATTTCTTGTTGCCAATTATGCAAAGTTGAAGCAGGAGTGACAACCAAAAAAGGGCCCCATATATTATGATGTTCAGCTAAATAAGCTAAAACTGAAATACTTTGAACTGTTTTACCTAAACCCATTTCATCGGCCAAGATCCCATTAATACCTTGTTCATAAAGATTGGCTAACCAATTAAGACCTTTAATTTGATATTCTTTCAAAGAACATTTTAGTAAATCTGGTTGAGTAATGGTGATATCACCCATCAAAGTTGGATTTTGGAAATTCATTTCTTCACCATTAGTATCAGGATTTTTCAAAGGATCACCATTTAGATCTAAATCTTGATTATGGTTGGAATCAAAACCTCTTGCTTTAGTTTGAGCAGCTTCCAAAGCCACTTGAGCATTAGCAGCAGCAGCTCTATTTAAAGCTTCTTCATCATCATTATCGAAATCGATAGAATTGAAATCAGTCGTTTGACCTTCAATTCCATGATATTTATCGAAATGACTATTATCATTTTTTGCATTTGAAATTCTTGGATCAGCATCACTTCCTTCAATTTCATCAGTTTTAATTTTTTTACCAATGAAATGAGAATAAAGTTCAGTTTGAGTGATTAAGAAATTCAATTTTCTTGATTGACGTTTAGCTTCACGATCTTCTTCTTCACGTTTAGCTTTATCTAATAATTCTTTTTCATGCTTTTTACGTAATTCACGTTCAACTCTTTCATTACGTTTCCAAAAATTAAACATTTCTCTCATTGCTCTTCTTGCTTTAGTAGTTAAATCTTTTTGATTTTTATTATTTCTTAATTGCCATCTTTTAGCTTCTCTTGCAGCTAAAATTGCAGTCTTTTTCAAATTGATAACTTTAGCTTGATTTGATTGTTGTAATAATCTACTAACTTTAGGACCATCTTTTCTAGACATATCTTTCCAAATAGCAACATAAGTATTATCGTATTGTTTAGTAACAACTTTTTGTTCTTTAGTATTTTTAGCAGTTTGACTAACTTGTTTCTGTTTATGATTTTCTTTTTGTTTTTCTAATTCTTGTTGACGAATTAATTCTCTAGCTTTATCTTCTTGAACTTTACGTTTTTTAGCATCTTGATTTTTCAAAGTTAATTTCAATTTAACTTTACCGGATGAATTATCAATTGGAGATTCTGAAGTTTTAAATCGTTTACTTGAAGGAGAATCATCTGAATCGGAAACTCTTCTTGATTTTGATTTAGTTTTAGCATTTGGTTTCTTATTTGGAGCAGGAGCTATATTAAGTAATTTTTTAGACGTATTGGTAGATTGTTTAAATTTATTATTTGTAGCTGATCTAGTTCTTTTAGAAGTTAAAGAATCATTATAATCAGCATCTTTTACACGAGAAGACCCCCAATGAAACTCTTTTGAAGTATGATTTTTTGAATTTGGTATTAGAATATTATTTTTAGTGGCAACATCTTCAGTGACTAATCTTTCCAAATAATTATTCGAAATACCATTTGATTTATTAATTATTTTATTAATATTAGCTAATTCATGATTTAAGATATTAATATTAGCCATTTTAACATTGAAACGATCTAATTTATTTATTGTGGATAAGTTTTTTTCGTAATAACTCAAATCTTCATTATTAGTAATGTCTTCATTTGAAATATATCCATTTTCCAATGGTTCTGCCAAGATAGAGGATATCATTGAAGGCGGTTCATTATTCTTCATATCTTCGTTCAATGGTCCCAGATGGTTAGACGATGAGTTTTCCACTGGTGTTTGGGCATTAGCACTAGCGCCATCGCTAGCGCCGTTATTAGCGCCATCGTTAGCATCATTAGCGCCGTCATCTTGATTTGTTATATCGGATATTTTGGGATAATGATTCGATATACCATTGGACACTTTATCGACATTTGCAGAATGGTTTGGTATTTCAGGTTGACCAGCTTGATTTTCCGACGAGCCTGGAATCGGTGGCGGCGTTGTATTATCATTGGATAGTATTGAAGAAATATTCATTTTTCAAGAATTTCTTCGTCTTCTTTCAGATTTTCCAACCTTTAATTCAACTTAAAACTCTCCCACTAACTTTGATTGATTGATGGGAGTATTGTTGATGATTAACAAAGCAAACGATTAAGGAAAACACGTTGTTTTTAATTAAAACTATCGCAAGTTCACTTTCTCTCTTTTTTTTTAGCAAAATCCAATTGAATGGAATTGTTGTTGAACAGAAAAAGTGGAAAGGGCCAAAAAAAAAAAAAAAAAAAAATTAGGAAACCTTTGGAAGCAAATGCTCTACAGAGTGTTATCGAGGGGGTTAACGAAGGGGCCGTGAAGATAATGCTGGTGAATACAGTGAAGATAATGCTCGGGCCAGTGAAGGTATGTATATGCTCGAAGTAATACCTGGCACTTACTGTTATACTGTTATACTGGCACTTACTGTTATACTGTTATACTGTTATACTGGCACTTACTGTTATACTGTTATACTGTTATACTGGCACTTACTGTTATACTGTTATACTGGCACTTACTGTTATACTGTTATACTGTTATACTGGCACTTACTGTTATACTGGTACTTACTGTTATACTGGTACTTACGTTATACGGTTATACTGGTACTTACTGTTATACTGTTATACTGGTACTTACTGTTATACTGGTACTTATACTTATACTGTTACTTACCGGTACTTATACTTGTAGTGGCGCTGGTATACCCCTAATGACTTCACTAAACCTTATGCTGACGCTGACTAACACTGACTTATTTAACACTGGTGCTTTATACGGATACTGCCTTGATACTGGTACCTTAGTTTTAGTACCTAACAGACGTAACCCAGATATAACGCTAATATTGCACTGATGTGACTAACGCTGATGTGACTAACGCTGATGTGACTAACACTGATGTGATTAACACTGATGTGACTAACGCTGATGTGATTAACACTGATGTGATTAACACTGATCATTGGATTCAGGAGTAGTTTCTATCGCTGGCTTCCCCATTCTCTACGTAGTTTACTGTAATCTTAGAAGCAGCACATTCAGTTGAATGGAAGTCTTTTGAATGGAAGTCTTCAGTTGAATGGAAGTCTTCAGTTTAATGGAAGCCTTCAGTTAAATGGAAGTCTTCAGTTAAATGGAAGTCTTCAGTTAAATGGAAGTCTTCAGTCGAGTGGAAGTCTTCAGTTAAATGGAAGTCTTCAGTTGAATGGAAGTCTTCAGTTAAATGGAAGCCCTCAGTTAAATGGAAGTCCTCAGTTGAATGGAAGCCTTCAGTTAAATGGAAGTCCTCAGTTGAATGGAAGCCTTCAGTTAAATGGAAGTCTTCAGTTAAATGGAAGTCTTCAGTCGAGTGGAAGTCTTCAGTTGAATGGAAGTTGTATCAGAATCGCAGTTATGTCTTCAGTTGAATGCCAATTCCCTTCTACAAGCATACAGTATACAGCCGATTCAAGGCAAGTAGCCAGAGAAACCATCCATGAGTCACCCCGAGTTGTATGATCCATGGCTATACGAATAATCTGACGGTATTTGCAGCAAATGGGTACGGGCCTGGAAGGGTGTACGGGCGTATGTCTCTGGATCAAATTCGCCCGCCGGACATAAATCAAGCTCATAAGCAAAAATCAAACCACCAACTACTCCATCAACAATATAATGGAACACCCAGCATTTACATTGAGTGGCCTCTGTGCCGTTGGAGGCTTTATGGGCTACTTCCGTAAAGGCTCCTTGCCATCCTTGATTGCCGGATCATCCATGGCCATCCTCTATGGGACCGCAGGATACTTATTAAAACAGAATGCTGATTGGGGACTTGAATTGGCCTTGGGTTCGTCCACCGCATTATTATTTGCTGGATTATCTAGAAGTGCCAAAACTCAATTCAAAAAACCAGTTCCTCTAGTCCTTTTAGGATTGGGTGGGTTATCCAGTTTGTACTATACTAAAAAGTATAACGAATTCTACCCTTTCTTTTAACTACAAAAGCAAGAAAAAAAAAAACAAAAACTGAAAAATAAATAATCATATATTTTAATATATATCTAAAAGAACTGAAAACATGTAAATCATAAATCATTAAAAGTCACTTAGTTGATATCGAGAACCGACATTGCTCTTTGTTTACGAGTGTCATCATCATCATGAGCAATTACTGGGTGGAAATTGATCCCCATGGCCTTAGAAGCGTCATTTTGAATACCTTCAAAGCTTATAGCATTAAGTTTAGGAGACGAAATTGGCGAAACATTTGGAATGACAAATGGTTCGGAAATTTCGCTGGACAAAGTTAAAAAATTAGACATGTTTGATATATAGAATACTGTTCCAACTACTCCTGGCTAGCAGATGGGGTTGTATTTATACTAAAGTATGGAACTGAAAGTCCGCCTCATGACTTATAGCTGAATATGGGGTTAGTCATCTCGTTTATTGTGCAAAACGTGAGATAAGGAAAAACTCCGAAATTTGTATGACAACGGATATTCGACTCCGAAGCTTCCATCCGTCCACGCACTGGTGGTTGAACTCCGAACCGTGTAAGTGAATATAAGTGAATATGGGTAAGTGAATGGTTAGTTCCTTCGTACCTGAACCTGAATAATGAACACCTAAAGGACTGAATACCTGAATAATGAACACCTAAAGGACTGAATACCTGAATAATGAACACCTTTGTAGGGACTGAATACCTGAATAGCTTAACGAGCCTTTGCAGGCTTCACGGGCAATTGGTCTCCTTACCTCGGGTGGACGGAGCAGTGGCGGTACGGGTGGGCGAAGAATGATTTTTCAAAAAATTTTCGAAAAAGTTCGTGTCTTTGCACAAAAGACGTCGGATGTACAGGGGTTTACAAAAAAAGTTTATGTAATATATGGATTAATATAAATTAATATATACTAGATTAAGCAGAAGCTTCAGCTTCAACTGGGGCTTCTTCAGCTCTGTAAGATTTGACGGTTGGGGCTGGGATGATTTCGTCTTCATCTTTAGCTTCAGCAATTTTAACGGCATCAGGTAAAGCTTTTGGACCAAATCTGTTAGCAGCTGGGTCTTTCATAATTTTAACTTTAATACCTAAAACACCTTGTCTCATTAAAGCGTGTCTAATGGCAATATCAATGAAATCTTTGGTTGGTTGACCAGAGTGAATCATGAAACCATCGGCGTATTTTTGAGCTTTAGCTCTGGCAGCTCTCAATTTACCAGAGATAACAACTTCAACACCTTTAGCACCGGCACCCATAGCGAATCTTAAGACACCGTAAGCAGCTCTTCTGATTGGTAAACCAGCTAATAATTTGTTTTTCAAAGCTTCGGCTTGAACAGCAGCAGATAAACCACGTTCTTCAACACGTTCAGCATAGATAACAATACCTTCTGGGGATAATTTGAATCTTTTAACAATCAATGAGGTTAATTCATGGATTCTTCTACCTTGTTCACCTAAAACACCTTGAGTGTTAGAAGCTTTAACAATAACTTCTAATTTGGTTGGGGTTTTTCTAACTTCAACACCAGCGTAACCTTGTTCAGCTAATTCTCTGGTGAAGAATTCGTTTAATTCGGCGTAGAAAACACCATCAGCGACTAACTTTCTCTTTTTAGATAAAATTTGACTAACCATCTTGATTGTTGTATAATGAAAGAAGAAACTGAATAACTTTGAAAATCTGAAAAATTTTTTTATTTGCACTGCAAAATTGAGAAGATGAAAATTTTATTCGGTTTGTGCGTCACACGACGAGAAATTTTTCAAAAACCAAAAAAAAATAAAATCAAAAAGAGTTGCATTTGGAAAAAAAGGGGGTTACCCGGAAGAGTGCTTACATAATCAATTATATTATTGTTGCAAAAATCTTACTTATACATTATCATCTAAACATTAATACTGATCACCAACCCATTTTCTGGCGTTTCTGAACAATCTGATCCAAGGACCGTATGGACCCCATTCTTCGGCTTGTTCTTTTGGATACCATGAATTGGACTCTTTTCTACAAACTCTCTCAGGATGAGGCATCATAGCTAAGACCCGGCCATTTTCAGAAGAGATACCGGCAATTGAATTGGTGGAACCATTTGGTAAATATGGATAAGTAGTGGCAATATCACCATAGTTGTCAACGTATTTAATAACATCTTGACCTTTGGAAATAAAGTCATCAAGATTTGAATCTTGGAAAGATGCCCTACCTTCACCATGAGCAACAACAATTGGTAATTTAGAACCTTTCATACCGTCTAAGAAAATAGAGTTGTTTGATTGGGTTGAGGCAACTTCAACCATAACAAATCTAGCTTCATACTGTTCACTAACATTTCTTTCAAATGATGGCCAAGATTCAGTACCAGGAATTAATTCAGAAATTCTGCTTAAGAATTGACAACCATTACAAGCACCAAATGCAAAAGTATCTTGTCTTTCTTGGAAAAATTTAATAAATTCATTTCTGGCTCTTTCGTTGAATAAAACAGATTTTGCCCATCCGGCTCCTGCTCCTAAAACATCACCATATGAAAATCCACCACAGGCTGCAATACCAACAAATTTATCTAAACTAACTTTACCACTTAAAATATCAGACATATGGACATCATAAGCTTCAAAGCCTGCTTGGCTAAAACACCAAGCCATTTCCTGTTGAGAATTGACCCCTTGTTCTCTTAAAATTGCAACTTTTGGTTTGTTACTTGATTTAGTATCAATACCTAAATCATCAGAAACTGCATAGGTTAATTGGTATGACAATCCAGGATCCTTGTTATCTTTTATACCTTCATATTCTTCATCAGTGGTTTTTGGATTATCTCTTAATCTTTGAATTTGGTAGGAAGTATTGGCCCATAATTGTTGTAGAACATCACGAGTATTTTCATAAACTGATTCATTATTATAATTAATAGAAACGGTTTGTGCAGAATCAAATATTGGTTCACCAATAACTTGAATGTATTTAGAATCAACCCCATTAGTATTCAAGATTTCATTAAATGAAGCTAAATCACTAGAGTTAATTTGGAAAACTGCTCCTAATTCTTCATTAAATAAGCTAGTTAATAAATCATCTCCTTTCAAATCTAATTTGACACCAGCTCTACCAGCAAATGCCATTTCTAAAACAGTGGTTAATAACCCACCTTCAGAAACATCATGATAAGCTAAAACATTAAGTTTTTTATGTAAAACAACCAATGATTCTAAGAAACTCTTTAATAATTTATTAGAATGAACAGTTGGTGCCAGGTTACCAACTTGTTTATAAACTTGAGCTAAGGCTGATCCTCCTAATGATTTCTTCACATCAGCGGCTAAATCAACATAAACTAATTGAGTATCATCTTTTCTAACTATTTGAGGAGTCCAAGTATTTGAAGTGTTATCAACAGGAGCAAATGCAGTAATGGTTAATGATAATGGTGCAGTTACTTCTTTATCATCCCATTTCATTTTCATCGACATAGAATCTTTACCAACTGGAATTGAAACTCCTAAATCCGGACATAAATCTAAACCAATGGCTTGAACAGCTTCATATAACTTAGCTCCTTCACCATCATGAGATGCAGCAGACATCCAATTAGCAGATAATTTAACTCTATCCAATGATGGAATATCAGCGGCAAAAATATTTAATAAAGATTCAGCAACTGACATTTTAGCTGATGCACTTGCACTAATTAAGGCTAAAGTTGGTTTCTCTCCCATTGACAATGCTTCACCAGTTGATAAAACAGTTTCACCTAATGAAGTGGCAGTAACACCCACATCAGCAACTGGAGTTTGCCATGGACCAACCATTTGATCACGATCAACTAAACCAGTGACAAATCTGTCACCAATAGTAATTAAGAAATTCTTAGATCCAACAGCTGGCAATTGAAGAACTCTGTCAATAGATTCACTTAATTGAATTTGAGAAATGTCAAATGGTTTTAATTTTAATTCTTGAGTTAAAGCGGTTCTTGACATTTTTGGTGGTTTACCGAATAAAACAGACATTTCTAAATCAATTGGAGTGGAGTTTAATAAAGAATCAGTTAAAACCAATCTTTGTTCTTCGGTTGCTTCACCAACAACAGCAAATGGAGCTCTTTCTCTATTACAAATTTCTTCAAAAAGGGCTAAATTTTCACTAGTAACTGCTAAAACATATCTTTCTTGAGATTCATTACACCAGATTTCCATTGGAGACATACCAGGTTCTAATGATAAGATAGATCTTAATTCAAATTTAGCACCCAAATCGTTATCATGAACCAATTCTGGTAATGCATTAGATAAACCACCAGCACCAACATCATGAATGAATTGAATTGGATTTTTTTCGGCACCAAATGAAACACAAGCATCAATAACTTGTTGAGCTCTTCTTTGAATTTCTGGATTACCTCTTTGAACTGAGGCAAAATCTAATTCTGCAGAACCTTCACCTGAAGAGATCGAAGATGCAGCACCACCACCTAAACCAATTAACATAGATTGACCACCTAAAACAATTAATTTAGAACCAGGAGTGATTTTGGTGTTTTTAAGGGCAAGATCAGGTCTAATAGCACCTAAACCACCAGCCAACATGATTGGTTTATGAAAACCTCTAAATTCAGTTTCACCTTTATGATTTTCAACTTCGGTAGTTAAAGTTCTGAAATAACCATTAATGGCAGGTCTACCGAATTCATTATTAAAAGCAGCAGAACCAATTGGAGCTTCTAACATAATATCTAAAGAAGAAGCAATATGATTTGGCTTACCAATATCTCTTTCCCAAGGTTGACGAGAATTTGGAATATTTAAATCAGAAACAGAAAAACCTGATAAACCAGCTTTTGATTTAGAACCTCTACCAACAGCACCTTCATCTCTAATTTCCCCACCAGAACCAGTAGCGGCACCAGCAAATGGAGAAACTGCAGTTGGATGATTATGAGTTTCAACTTTCACTAAAGTATGAACAGTTTCTTTGATAGATTTCCACTCTTTAGTTTGGAAATCAGGAGTCCAAACATAACCTTGAGGACCTTCGAATACAGCAGCATTATCAGAATAAGCAGAAATGGTATATTGAGGGTTTTTAGCATGAGTGTTTCTAATCATTTTAAATAAAGATAAGTCTTTCTTCAAACCATCTATAGTCCAATCAGCATTGAAGATTTTATGACGACAGTGTTCTGAATTAACTTGAGCAAACATGAATAATTCAACATCAGTTGGATTTCTACCAATAATTTGAGTGAAAGCATTTATCAAGTAATCAATTTCACCTTGATCTAAAGCTAAACCTAAGTCTTTATTGGCTTTTAATAAATTATTAGTATCGGAGATTAAGTCAACATGAACCAAAGGTTTTGGAGGATGATGAGCAAATAAATCATTGTATTTTGGAGCATTGGTATCTAAATACAAACTTTGAGTCATTCTATCGAAAACTGAAGTTAAGATTTCTCCCTTTTTAATATAATCGGATAATTTAAAATCTGGTTCAACTTGAATTAACAAGCTAATACCACGTTCAATTCTTTCAATTTGATCGGATAACCCACAGATATTGGCAATATCAGTAGCTTTCGACGACCATGGAGAAATAGTACCTGGTCTAGGTAAAATTCTAATGAGGTAAGTATCTTTATCTAATTGAATTTTAGATTCGATATCTGATTCGTCACCACCAACACTTGATACGTGCAACAATTTTTCATTCAATGCAACTGATTTATCAACTGGAGAATCATAAGTTAATAATATTTCAATCAACTTTAATTGAGATTCACTTAATTCTTGTTTTAATGAAACATAATGAGTGAATGATGAAGCAACATTCTTAATAATTGATGCTTTTCCCAATTTTTTTTCAATTTCTTGAACTAAATTATTAACCCTGAATGGGGATAATGCATTAGGACCTGGTAAAATAAGAAATTTATCAGAACTCATTGTATAATAAACTAGATACTACTAAAGGAGTATCAAATAATGGTACTTCAGTTCAATAACTCGTCGTTGCAAGAGAAGGAGAACTAAAGAAAACCCAGGAAAACTTCAATGCAAAAGAGAATATCAGCTATTGATATACTTTAAATCACTAATAAATTGCAGAGTTAATCCGCTTCATCTCATTGACTCTGAATTTTTCAAAACGTTGGTCGTGTGTGGAACTCTTTGTTCTTTTTTTTTTTTTTTTTCTATTTATTTGCGATGCCCTTAAAAGATCTTAAGATAAGCCAATTCGAAAGAAACAGATACTTCTTCAGCAGGATTCTAGAGTAATGGCACAAGGTAACATCAAGTTAAAGGCCAAGACAGCACCAAGAGTGACTAAGAAGCAAAAGAATCCAAAGAATTATGCCCCCAAGATCATCAAGCCAAAGAAAGGAAAAGCAGTTCAAGCCCAAAAATTAGCCAAGGTCCAACAGGGACAATTAATGACATCTACCGAAAAGTTGATTGCTAGTAGAGTTGGACATTTGGAAGTCATCAAAGGATCCAGAAGACAGATTGAAAAGGAAGAAAAAGAAAAAGCCAAAAAACAAAAGTAGACCATGAGTAATGAGATATTAAGTAACTTCCCCAAGAAACCACAAGGTTTTTACAATCAAAAAGATATGCAAATAGCAAATATGGCTAATAAGGTAATAGGGAATGAAACCCCTATAAGATCTGTACAAGTGGTACCACCACTTAATGCATTAGATCCTGATTTGATACATGAAAATCGTAAACGAACTAGAAGACGATAAATTTTTATTATAAATATACAATGTTAATTAGGAATTCCTCTTACTGTAGCTTCTTGAGCTTCTAATTCCAAATTTTTTCTTTTCAATTCCAATTCTTGAGATCTAACGTAACCAATCAAAGAAACGGCAAAGATAAAAGTTAATAAAGTTAATACGGAATTGATTGGAATTGGATTCATATGGAAAATTTCATGAGTTAACTTATCCATAGATTGTTGTAAGATATTACAAACCCCAGAAAATGCAATGATGGTACCATAAACGGTGCCAAAGGTATCGAAACCGAAAACTTTAGCACAAAAATCTGAAACTGCAGTGTAATAAAAAGGTCTATAAACCACCAAACAAACGATTCCGAGATAGGTACCGGGCAACCAGGAAAGGATCCCCATTATACCGATAAAGATTGAAACTATTGATAAAATCATCAAGATAGTTAAGGTAGTTAAATTATCTAGCAAAAGACCAATGAAGGGAATTGAAATCAAACCACCTAAAGGTAAGGCTAAATCGAAGAAATGATTAATTGTAGTGGCTAAATCCTCGTCACCATGATATAGGAATAATTCCTGAGCTTTAATGGTAGCAACAAAGTAGTTGATACGCAACATTTGAATGGTAGTGAACAAAGTCATTAATAAGAACCAAGGAGATTTTAATTGTTCAGTAATAGTATACCCATGCATAATACCAAAGACCCCACCGGAGGAATTAATTAATTTATCTTCAGCATCTTGTTCATAAACCGACTTGACGGAATTTCTAGAAGCATAAGAAGATCTCGAGATTACTGAAGCTCTTCTTGAATGAGAACCAGCATTCATTAATAAAGAAGTAGTTTCAGTAATACTTGGTTGAGGGAAAGACTGAATATCCGAGTTGAAAGATTCCCGACGATCTTGAGGTAATAATAAATCTCTATTCATTGGTTTACCAGTTTCATCAATTGCAGTTTCGGCAATTTTAGCCAAAGTACCAATGGTCTTATAAGAATCAACTGGCATAACGTATAACTGACAAACAAAAATAAATAATGGAACGATTAAATAGTAAGTGAAGAACTGATTCAAAGATAATTCAAAATAATTATTATAAATTACCCGGTAAATTAAGAATAAAGCTGAAGAAGAGTCAAAAGACCCAGTTAACAAAGCCAAAATCAACCCTGAATTTTTAGGGAAGCTATTTGCCAATTGGAAGCACGAAATGAAAACAAAAGGACCCCCAAGAGCTAAAAAAGTATAACCGAAAAGATAACCATCAAACCAATTAATGAATTTAGCATTTTGCAATGATAACGAACCAAGTAATATAATAAAAGAGCCAATGATTCCGGTAACTTTAGGACCATAACTGTCCAAAATAGAACCAACCGGCAATGCACTTATATTAGTAACCATGCATGCTATAGTGAAGAGGAAATTCAATGATAAATCCTGTTCAATACAATCTTTAGCAGTACATTTTTCACTATAAACACCTTCAGCTAATAAAATTGGCTTCAAAGCTGCAAAACCAAAGACCGGACCGGCTGCCAACAAACACCATATAATTGAACAAACAATCTGAGTCACTCTTTTCGTCAATGAAGGTAGTTCAATGATATTTGAATCATTATAATGAGTATCTGGAGACATGATTAATTAGCAAATATGAAAAAAAAAAAAAAAGAATGCGAAGACCCTAACTACATATATATATTCTTTTATTGTGCGAAGTGAATTACTGAAAATTCGGCCAGCACCGAATCGTTCTTTAATATACAATATCTAAGTTAGAAAGGAGAGATTTTATGTTCGACATCACGGTAGTTACTGGAGCTATTGGCAATGCGGAAGTAGAAATGAACAATTACTATGATAACCATGTTAATCACAATCAAAGCAGCCACTGCTAACAAAAAGCGAATGTACGATTGATCAAGTAATGGAGTATCCTTTTTCTCATCCTTGTCCTTATCATCTTTATCTTTATCATCGTCCTTTTTATCATCTCTTTTGTCATTGACTATTCTTTCATCTTCAACTATTTTTCCTTGTTTGAGCAAATCAAGTTCTTCTTGTTGGCAGTGGATCAAGTCAATCATATGACTGATTTCGTCATTATTCACGTATCCGATTTTATTGGACTTGAAATGCAAATTAAGGGATGCCGACGGATTGGGAATAATGTACTCATGGAAGAAAATGATCATCAATAATGACAGTATTAACAAACCAATCCATAGTCTATTTTTTCTAGATTTTTCAAAAGTTTCTTTCTCAGACATTTGTTAAAGTAGTAGGAGTACACTAGGAGTATAGTAGGAGTACACTAGGAGTATAGAAGGGTACACTAGGAGTATAGCAGGGTACACTAGGAGTATAGCAGGGTACACTAGGAGTATAGAAGGGTACACTAGGAGTACAGTAGAAGCAGTAGCAGGACAGTAAAGTAGAGTAAAGTAAAGTATGAAATGATTTCAGATCAGCATCCCTTCACTTCTAATTCTTAATTTAGAATAAGGGCTACATTCCAACACAAACAAATTGCTAGCCGATTTTTGCAAGCATTTTTTGTCCTGCACATATCAGTGTCATGTGATCAGTCATGTGATTTATATCACGTGATTGATCTTAGGTATGTACGGGCGTTTCTCTTATATTTTCACACTTTTTTTTCATCATCTCATCATCAACACCAATACCACCATCTACTCATCTAACAACAGCCAGGATGTCAGGAATCTTGTTTGAAGACATGTTCAATGTCGAGTCCGCGGACCAGGCCAGATACACCAAGGTCAGCCGTATAATAGGGCAATCCTCCACCTCACAAGATATCAAAATCACCTTGGATATCAATAGTGAGTTATTCCCTGTCAAATCCAACGACTCATTGACCATTGTATTGGCCAGCTCTTTGGGGAACGAAGCATCCATGTTAACCTCCAACGGGTCCTGGAGACCTCCTAAAGCCTCGGATCGTTCTTTGGCCGACGATTACGATTACGTGATGTATGGAACCGTTTATAAATTCGAAGAAAATTCCGGTGACGATAAAATGTCAGTCTATATTAGTTTTGGTGGGTTATTAATGAGATTGGAAGGTGGTTACCGTTCGTTGTCCAACTTGAAACAGGACAACGCCTACATTTTAATTCGTCATTATAAAGAAAATTGAAATTTGTACTATTAGATAGATATATACATTGATTTATATATTGATTTTATGTGTAGCTAAAAAAAACTCCCACACTAATAAAAAAAAAAAAATGAGAATAACCGCCCACCACTACTACTTCTTCTTCTTCCCACACCATGAATAACACCGACACCCGTATGTACGCTGGATCTATTTCAAAGAGGTAGTTACTAACTGTGTGTAGCCGATGAGATATTGAATCAGGTTCCGTTGATCAAGAATCCCTTGTATCAGCCCCCGAAACCAGTCACTTTAAACACAAATTTTAATAAGTTGATACCAACTTTGAACTCGGTAAGACCGCCTAAGATCAAGTTGACTACAGAGGAGTTGACCAATTGGTTGGCGTCAATTGAAAAAATGAAAAGTACTAGCGATTCAGCAGAGGTGACTAAGTATCAGGATTGGATTAACCAACAGCAAAGAAAATTTGCTCCTGGATTCGATTTTGAAAACGTGTTGGTTCCTACTACGAAGCCTCAAGATAAGAATGAATTGGATGAGTTATTTGGTAATGTTTCCATCTAAGCGTTCATTTACCTTTGGTGAATTTGCCGCCAAGTCCACCATTTTTATTCAAGTTCTTTAATATCTCTTGTCTCACTTCCTTATTGAGTCCTTCTTTATGATCAAACTTTGTGATTTTATTCTTGCTGTTATGTCTTTGTTGATGTAGTTCCATTAATGACTTTTTAGGTTGTGGATTTACTTTCAATACTGGACCAATCACTTCATCCTCACTCTCACTACTTTCGGTGTCAGTATCACCCTCCTTTTCCTCGTCATCTTTCGTATCTTCCTTCGATTCTTCTTTCTCAACTTCCTTAGGTTCCTCTTTCTCAACTTCCTTGTTCTCTTGCTTGCGTGGGCCAATCATGCTTGTTTGGTGCTGATTGAAGTTTATTTTTTTCATCTCATGAAGGAAAGAAAAAAAAAATCAAAATAAACAAAAATATGATAAACCCCCATACTTTTACACCAATTCCCTCCATACTACTACCATGACGAGCCTAAGAGCTTGGAAAACACTATTGAATAATTTTTTTTTCCGCTCAAAAAAACTTCTCGTGCTTTTCTTACTCGTTATTTGTGCTCTAATACTGATCAAATCAGTTCAGGATAGGAAAAAGGTTGTTTTGAAACCAGTTAACGACAAATTTGACTTAGTCAGTAATAGAATTAACTATATTAACCCAATATATCAAAGATGGATTGAATCTGGAGAATACGAAACATTGAGGCTGGCTGATTTAAGCCAAAAATGTAATTCGTACTTTGATCATTTATCGAAGATTTCCGAAAGTGGCTCAGTATACGTTGATTTAGAACTGATGAGTAATTTTGATTTCAATATTTTTCTATATAAAAAAAAGAAGTGGTTTAGAGAAAAGACTAAACGACTTCGGAAAAATTTAATGAGAAAAGGTTCCAGGTTTGATGAAAATTATCATTCAAAACAGCTCGAAATTGAGTTTGATCATGATATAAAAGAATTAGCCTCTTTTGAATATCAAACTATGAGAGAAATGAATGATGCTAGAGTTTTCGGTAAGTGTTTCATCGAAAATTCTATCAAAGATTGCCGTATTCATGAAAGTAAAACTTTCCCTTGGCTAAACAAAGAATTCCCAAAATTTGAAAATTGGAAATTGGAGTTATTACCAAAAGGTGAATTACCAGTTTTCAATGAATCAAGTTATTCTTCGGGAAGCTCAGACTGTTTCATCAATCAATTATTGGCGAAAAGTAATGGTAAAGGTATAGTCATTCCATTACTACCGACCTCGAATAATAATAGACAAATCGATAATACTATAAGATTAATAAATGTTTTGAGGGGCTTGAAGAATACATTCCCAATTGAAATAGTTTATTTAAATAATTTTTTCAATCAAGTTGACAAGAGAAGATTAATCGAAGCGGCAAGAACCGAAATCAGAGAATTACCTTCATCTCATCATGAATATTTGAAAGCAATGAACTTAGATGAAGATTTCAAATTTTCAACTCCAAAAGATTTCCCAAAGCAAGATATTTGGTTTGTTGATATCTCTAATGTTAAAAACAAAGATCAACATCCTCTAATTTCAAAATCTTTTCAATTCAACAATCCTACTTTTACATGGTTAATATCGACAATTTTTAACTCCTTTGAAGAGTCAGTGGTTTTGTTACCCACTGCAGTTCCAGTTGTCGAAATAGAGCATTTCTTTCAAATGGAAAAATTCCGAGAATATGGCTATTTATTTTTCAAAAAACCTTCCTACTACCGAGATAATAAAGCGAGAAAGTTTGCTCCTGGTTTCCATGAGATTACTAATTTTATAAAGAGTTTCCTAATGCCAAATAGAAATGATCAAAACATGTTTGGTATTCGAATGAGACAGAAAAAACTTCTGCTTGATACAAATCGTTTCTTAGAAGATAATTTTGCAACCTTGATGGATCCAACTCTTTTAATCATTAATAAACCCAAAATCATAAATTCTTTGTTATTGGGTTGCAATTTACAAATGTATAAAATATTAGAAAGTAGAATTCAAATATTCTCTGAAGAAGTCAATCCAGAAATAATGTGGTTAAGCCAGGAAATGACAGGTAATAACGAAAAAATTGCCTTTAATAGACATTTTGGTGTCTTGGCTGGTCAACGTACTCCCTATCAAAATAAAAATTATTTCCTAGCTACTGCAGCTGATGAATATTGTTCAAGTTCATTTGGTCAGTTGGATGAAGACGATGACCATACGTTACTCTATCTAACCTCTGATCAATTAGAGCATTGGATATATCAAAATCCGGAATCTCAAACAATTTTAAAATCAAAATTCATAATAACCAAGAATGAATCACACGATTTATTTGGTAATGGTGATCAGACTAATGTTTTGGTTGATTCCACTGAAATTTACGATAATACAATTAACAAAAACCCCTTATATGTTGCTGAAGTCTTGAATCCTCCTGTAATCAAAAATCCGATTCTAGTTCAAGGATTTAGAGAACCAGACCAAGCTTGGGATAAGATCTATGAATTTAGTGATGGTGGTGCTTACTGGTGTGCTTACAATCTTGTAGGTAGCATAGAAACACCAATGAAAGGGAAAGAGGTTCAGTATAACGAGAAGCTTAAAGCATGGTTTAATTATGTACTTGACTTGTGGTTGATGTAAATACGCTCTTACGACAATAAGATACATCTGTGTAAAAATTCAATACACTCTTACAACAATAAGATACATCTATGTAAAAATTAAATACGATTGGTAGTTTACAGATAGCCTATTTTAATGCTAATAAGAAAAAAATAGCAAAAAAAAATGGCGTTACAGACAGGATTCGAACCTGCGAAGGTAAAACCCAATGCCTAACAGCTAACTTGGTAATTAGCAGGGCATCGCCTTAACCGCTCGGCCACTGTAACTAGTGAAATCGGGAGATTCACGACTGCGCCACAAAGCGATTTTTGAAACAATTATGGATTTTTTCCTTTTATAAAAGAGAAGTATTTATTCTACCTTTGATTAGCTGTTTTTAAAGGCGTTTTTTAATATCAATAATTTCGAGGAATTATTGACTTTTTGTAGTTATTTATAAACCAATATATGACATTATAATAAAAGAAAAAGTAAATTAGTTAAAAAAAGTGCTAAAAGTTAAGAAATAAAAATTATTGTAATTTTTTCGAAATATTGACAGATTTGAGCATAAACTGATGTTTTCATCTCGAAGGGCAAATTAATGTATCATTTCAGAGAAGAAAGGGGATAGTTTTTCAGATAAACAGTAAGCATTAAATAAATTAATCTGCTCAAGTACTTGTATTAAGTTTCATACGGCGAATAGAATTAGAGAAAATCTGAACATAATTTCGTGGTGTTAATCTTTGATAACGATTGAACAAAACTCAAAGATCCTCTATATATTAGGCCATGCATATCTAGCGAATAAACACTGTTTCAAAAGGGAAGGCCATACCTAGATGCGAGCTCATTTCTACTAGCACACACTCTAGAAGAATCGTATCAATAGGCTGCAATAATCACCAAGGTACTGGAGGGGAAGCAGAACTTTCATTGACATGCAAATGTCAATTTGTAGGCATTCCTCCTCTTCCCCCAGACATTTTCCTACTTACTTTACTTTCAAAGATAGAATAACTCTAGTTTCAAAGATAGAATATGATGAAAGGCCCACCAAAAGACAGTCCGAAGCAAGTGAACCTGAAAACTCATAGTGGAGTTTTTTGCACTGAGATCCGTAAAGTCAGCAAATCTTATACGACGAAATGACCTTCAGAATTTATTGAGAGTTACAGCAAAACAAACATAAAAATTTTTCGGACAAGCAAAAACAAATGGTATCATCGTCGAACTAGTGATTATAATCCAGTTTCGCTGATGTCTCAACACGACGACTATCCGTTATTAAGACTTTTCCAGTGCCAAAGCCTATTCTACACAAGGCAAGTTTCAAGGAATTCAAAATGATTGCAAAAAAAAAAAATTTGTCTGCGAAACTCATCGAAGCACAAAATTTTTCAAAAATTTCACTAGTTTCTGAATCTTTCAAACATGAAAAATTCCAGCAAAAAGAAAAGGCAAAAAAGAAGAGTCTACAGCACGATGGTTTCCATTATGGTCTCCCACTAACGTACTCAGCATCGCTCTCAGCAGCTTAATAATTATTGATCGGACGGGTAATCATGCTTTATGCTGGATATGGCCGTAGACGTCAGTTTCGAATTTGGGGTGATTTTACAAACAGAGGTAAATGCCACTGTAAGAGCTCCTTCGTAGATTTCGGACCAAGACAAGCATTGCAATGCCCACCAAAGACGCCGTGTAATACCCGCCAAATATGGCTGTCTTAATTAGTTATTCAGAAAGGTGTTAGTTATATAATATCTTCATGAAGTTTTGATATTTTACCCACTTGATTCAACCAGAGGGTCCGGCTATATCTTTCTCTCATAATCAACGGACACATCTTTCGCCGAATCTTTAGGTAGATGAACATATATTGATTACTATAGTAAAAAACAGCTACGAAGAACATATTTAGTAGATATATATATTCATTATTCTTAAAAAAGGAAACTGGGAAGAATATGAAAAATACCCAACCATTACCAAGATCAGCCTTAGAAGATATCGAACTCTCGAAAAGGCTTTTAAAAGACCAGCTATAAACACCAGCTCCACAGGTACCAGGACAAAGACTCAGAGCTTGGTGTAGTAGACCGGCTACTAATCTCATTATATTTCGGCATCGGTAAATTGAACTAAGTTCATTGCCTTGGTGTCCCTGAGTATAGAAATACTACTACGAGTATACTAGTTTATACGAGTATGCTAGTTTCGTTATGGAACTTAATACCCCTCTAACAAGCACTAACTACAGCTTATTTCTACATTGTGGAAATATTTAGCTCACCTGTTTAGCGAAAGGTTATGCCTGCTGTCAAGATGACAGTGCCACGGGTTTCCGTCATTGGCAAGCCGTAAGCTCTCGAGCTTCACTAAGCAAATGAACACCTTCGTCAGATAATGCCAGTTTCCGCAAACCAGTAAGACAATGAAGGATACTTTCGCAACCTCGTAATATATCCAAATGTAACACTAATTATAAGTTATAATATACAGTTATAATCAGATGAAAAAATAGAAGAAGATACGTTACAATAAGACAAGTTCTATTAATATGATAGTTTACAGTAGTTAATGGGTTATACCTTCATCTGAGAGCAGGAATACGACAATCTCAAGCCAAATCAACCACAATACCAGCCCTAACCAATCCCAAACACGACACTGACGAACACGGCAGCATACACGACGAGTATCCGGGGAGCCAAATTGACACGAATACCTTGGGGTCCAGATTGACACCTCGTATCTCATCCAATCAACAGTGCTCATCGTCAGAATTACGTCCGGTACTAAATCGCCCAGTAGAAGTGATAGTAGTACCACCAGCACCACCAGCACCACCAGCACTAGTGCCACCACTGGAAGTAGTACTGGAAAGAGCAGTAAGAGTAAGAAGAGTAACAGTAGAGTAGAGTAAGACAGTCCATGTGTACAAAGCAAATTTCAAATCAAACCCAACGCAAACAAAAACAAAACGAATAACCCAAAAAGGCGAGAGAACAACGAATCTTAAAGGTGAATTTTGAAAAACATATATATAGTTGTTGGTTTTTCTTTTGCAAACAATTGGAAATCATAATTGACTTCAATTAAAACATCAAGATGGATACGGCTATTCCCAAAAAACATATCAAGACTCAATCTACTTATGTATGTATTCAAATAAGCTAATTTTCTACCGTTTGATCTTTTTTACTAACAAGGGATAGGCATTTGATAATACTGCCACCACTGTAGCAGCATCTCAAATGCGTAATGCTTTGAATAATTTAGCAGATACTGTTACTGATAGTGACCAGCAATCCAGATTTGAAAATGAAATGGATTCCTTTTTCGCTTTATTCAGAAGATATTTAAGTGATAAAGCAAGTGGATCAACTTTAGATTGGGATAAGATTAAATCTCCATCACCAAATGAAGTTGTTCAATATAACTCTTTAGAAGATAAGAATTTGAATAACTTGAGTAAATTGGCTGTTTTGAAATTAAATGGTGGATTAGGTACTTCAATGGGTTGTGTTGGACCAAAATCAGTTATTGAAGTTAGAGATGGTAATACTTTTCTTGACTTGTCAGTTAGACAAATTGAACATTTGAACAGAAAATATGATGCCGATGTTCCACTTTTATTAATGAATTCTTTCAATACCGATAATGATACCGCCAAAATCATTAAAAAATATCAAGGTCACAGAATTAGAGTTAGAACTTTCAATCAATCCAGATTTCCTAGAATCTTTAAAGATTCTTTATTACCAGTTCCAGAATCTTTTGATGATGATTTAGAAACTTGGTATCCTCCAGGTCACGGGGATTTATTTGAAAGTTTGGTTCAATCCGGTGAATTGGATTCTTTATTAGCCCAAGGTAGAGATATTTTATTTGTTTCAAATGGTGACAATTTAGGTGCCACCGTCGATACTAAAATCTTGGATCACATGATTGAAACTGGTGCTGAATATATTATGGAATTAACCGATAAAACAAGAGCTGATGTTAAAGGTGGTACTTTAATCAATTACGATGGTCAAGTTAGATTATTAGAAATTGCTCAAGTTCCAAAAGAACACGTTGAAGAATTTAAATCAATTAAAAAATTCAAATATTTCAATACTAATAACTTATGGATTAACTTAAGAGCAATTAAAAAATTAATTGAATCAAATTCAATCGAATCAGAAATTATTCCAAATCAAAAAACTATCTCAAAAGGCTCTTCTGATATTAATGTCTTACAATTAGAAACCGCCGTTGGTGCTGCCATTAGACATTTTGATGGTGCTCATGGGGTTGTTGTTCCAAGATCAAGATTCTTACCAGTTAAAACTTGTTCCGATTTATTATTAGTCAAATCTGATTTATTCTATCTTGAACACGGTGCTCTTAAATTAGACCCAACCAGAGATGGTTTCTCAAATCCTTTGATTAAATTAGGTTCTCATTTCAAAAAAGTTTCCGGTTTCCAATCAAGAATTCCTCATATGCCAAAAATTTTGGAATTAGATCACTTGACCATCACCGGTAACGTTAACTTGGGTAGAAATGTTACCTTAAAGGGTACCGTCATTATCGTTGTTAGTGACGGTCAAAAAATCGATATTCCAAATGGTTCCATTTTGGAAAATGTTGTCGTTACCGGTAACTTAAGTATTTTGGAACATTAAAATAAAAAAGGAAAAAAATTATTTTTACTCTTTATATCTTCAAATATTTATCAATCTTTTCTCTCGTTTAACGTATTCATTTAATCTTGTTTCATACAACTATTTGTAAAATAACCATAGGTCCCTCATTTTTCCCTAGTAGAACCGTTATCGTGATGATATTTGCTTCGCTCGTCCATAAATCCCTTCTCTCTGACCGAATAGTTGGCGAATCATCGATTGATAATATCCTTGGTAGTGCAAAAAGATAATGCAATCAAGCAATGGTCTGTTTACTATAACATTTGGATAATCAGCGAAAACATTAATTAAATGACCTCTTTCAGTCCACTGAATACTGGAAGGCAAACCCGAAAAAGCTTAAAAAAACTTTTCAACTCTTGACAGAAACTTCATTTTCAAATGAACCGGAAATGTTGTCTGTACCACCCACGAAAACAATGATCAATTCTATTCAGCCCCAGTAAGCAGTTGCTAACCTCAAATATACCTTTATCTTTTATGTGTACCTCATAAAAACCCCATTTACACATACAATTGGTTTTACCAATAGTTGCAAAACTGATCGCAAAAGTTTTTTGACGTCAAGGGTTGATAACACACAACTAAATACGAGAAGCTAACATTATCACCCATGCCTTCAGACGGTAGCTAATACCCTGAAGATGGAATGAGCTAACTCTTTGAAATATTTTCTGGCTTGAAAATTGCCGGTTAAGTTACATTCGTCTACATATCATGAAGACACTCGAAAACAAACGTGGACTCTGATTTACCAAGATACTGTTTTACATTAACTACCGATAATTAGCCAGCACTTGAAAAAGCCTGGCGAGATCTCCAATTGACAATTACGTGCTTTTAAAGCATGTTAACTGTATTCTGAAATATTTGAGCTGTATAAGATTTTTTTAACTCAAATTAGAACATGAACAGAACAAAATGTCATTCTTTACAGCCTACTTAGTGAAAGATGTTTTCTTTTATGCCCATACCCCTGAAAACGTTCCTTTTTAAGTCTTTTTTTTTTGACATATAAGAAGGAGCTCTTACAGTGGCATTTATCTTTGTTTGTAAAATCACCCCAAATTCGAAACTGACGTCTACGGCCATATCCAGCATAAAGCATGATTACCCGTCCGATCAATAATTATTAAGCTGCTGAGAGCGATGCTGAGTACGTTAGTGGGAGACCATAATGGAAACCATCGTGCTGTAGACTCTTCTTTTTTGCCTTTTCTTTTTGCTGGAATTTTTCATGTTTGAAAGATTCAGAAACTAGTGAAATTTTTGAAAAATTTTGTGCTTCGATGAGTTTCGCAGACAAATTTTTTTTTTTTGCAATCATTTTGAATTCCTTGAAACTTGCCTTGTGTAGAATAGGCTTTGATACTCAGTTTACTTGATAGTTATACTTGCTGTGGTGAAATTGGGGTAAAATAATCGTAGTATAATTTATTTCTTTTAAAATTTGAATTCTGCAAATGCCTAGCCATTTGACTCATCGAGAGCTTTGACTTGATTGTACTCAATGACAAAGTCCTAGTGTTGTTTTCATTTATCTGGTCGAGACGTCGTAGATATGTCTAGGAAATAAACTTTTGGCGGATTCAATTCTTAGAGTAGGCTCTACGGAACTACAACTAGTATAAATAATGAAAAACAATGGTTATAGATACAAAGACATATTTCTAAAGGGAACATCTATTTATTCAAGTATGTATATGTAGCCTTGTGAAGTGGTATGACAAACACGATTATACCTTATTCCAAGAATATTCCTTTTCTGAATCAGATAAAATTTAGCATCATATAAATGTATTATCTTTTTCAAAGCACCCTTGATCTACTTAGGTACAAATGTATTATCTTTTTCAAAGCACCCTTGATCTACTTAGGTACTTAAATGTTTTTTGCGGATTAATAGTTACTCGTCACTAGTTGTACCAGTCACTTGGTATGACGAATAAGTTCCGAGTTGCCAGTTAATCAATATTCGTTGAAAGTTGAAGTGGCTTTCATTTCCAGAAACCCTGGTCGGATTCTTGTTCAACTGCTGGGGCCTTTTCCATTTGTTTATCATGATAAAAGAGAACGTCAATTAAAGGCCCTAGATTCATTTACAGAACGCTTTAAGATAGTAGTTGAGTTACCAGCTCGTTTTTTTAACTCAAGCAACAGTTCTTTAACTTAGACAGCTTGCTCCTTAACTGTATCTACTTTGACGAGACATTTAGATAATCTAACAATAGCAGAAGTTCTTCGTGAATGTAGGCTAAGCTCCTCATTTGATTAGTAACCTTCTCGCCAGTTTTCACAAATACTTCGAAGGATCTATGTTTCTCACACTGTTAGGATTCATTTCCCATCGTGCTTAGTCTCTCTATATATAAACGCCTACTTTTGGGGACTGAAATAAACCATAATTATGGCTGTCTATCACCATTTCTGACTGCAAAAAAATATTCCTCCATTTATTCCACGGAAATTGCCCAACTCAAATAAAATTACTTCGAGATTACAATAAAAGAGTTTAGAACTATTGTCCAATCCTTTGGGGATCAGAAAGCATACGTTTGAAGGATTTTGAATTAACACGGACTTTTCAACTTTTTAAAATCGGTGCTGTTATATTTAACAAATTTCTATTTTCGTTCAAGCTTCGTTCCTCATGGCCCAATGGTCAAGGCGTCTGGCTACGATTTCGTAACCACTTCTCGGTTGGAACCAGAAGATTCCAGGTTCGACTCCTGGTGGGGAAGCTTACTTTTTTTGCTGCTTTAATAAGTTTTGGATGCGACGGTATCAGGCGATGATTTTTTTTAAATGGAGAAAACGGCAAACGTTTTAAATCATTACCAATTGATCTGTGATTTAAAGAGTGCTAAAGAGATTCAATATTGAACTTATCAGCTTGAAGAAGTACTAGAACAAGATGCTCGCGCAACCAATTAACATTAAGAAATGGATAGAAGAGAATAATCATCTTTTACAACCACCGGTGAATAATTATTGTCTTCATAGAGGTGGGTTCACAGTTATGATTGTTGGAGGTCCTAATGAAAGAACAGACTACCATGTTAACCAGACACCTGAGTATTTCCATCAATTGAAAGGACATATGTGTTTGAAAGTAGTTGATGAAGGAGAGTTTAAGGATATTATAATTGAAGAAGGAGATTCATTTTTACTTCCAGGCAATACCCCCCATAATCCGGTTAGATTTGGAGATACAATTGGATTGGTTGTTGAACAAGATAGACCAAAGGGGTTAAACGATAAAATAAGATGGTATTGTTCCAACTGTAAAGAAATATGCCATGAAGTTGAATTTTATTGCCATGATTTAGGAACTCAAGTCAAAGATGCAATTTTAGCCTTTGATCAAGATATTAATGCTAAGTCATGTTCCAAATGTGGAACAATCAATAAATCTAAACCTTAAATACAATTTACGGTTATATAGATATATATATATGTATGTAAATAAATAACGCTATTTCTGAGAAGATTTATAAAAATCTTCACCTTTATCAAAAATATAATCTATAGCATGTTCTACTGGTTCATCAAAAAGATAAGGTAATAAAGGAACCACACCCAACCCGAGACCAACTGGACCATAAGTTTTCAAAGGTTTAATTTTCAGATTTTTAAATAACACTGAAGAATATCTAACTACACTATGAATGGTGAAAGCAGGTAATCCCATTGAAGCAATACTTTGGAATAACCCTCTTTTCAAACCAACCAATCTCCAATCTGATTCAACCAATTTATCACCTTGAGTACTTTCAAAAACCTGTTTAGCAACTGGATTTGGTTCAGGGTAGGGATAATTCCAAGGTTTCAAGCCTGAAGTATAACGGCCCTCAGATTTTAATTTAACAATCCAAGATGCATAACTGACATCTCCCAAGATATATAACCACGAAACACCATAACCTAATTTAACTAAATATGGATGGGCAACCGGTCTAAAAGATTCACCAATATCCGAAGTATAAGCAACGTAACGATGAGATGCTAAAAGAATGGTTCTAAATCTATTAGCATAAGCGGCATATCTTAAACTCGATTCTTGATTATCTAAATCAGTTTTAGTATCTAGTGATTGTTCAACTTGATTTATTTGATCAGAAACTGGTGTTTTCGACGACATTTTATGGTAGCAAAAGGGACAATTGACAAGATCAAAGGACAAGAAGTACTTACTTATATGAATAGATGGAGTTAGGAAATTGCAAATGGCAAATTCAAGGTTCCGAATATTTAACAAATTTCATTATGTCCAGAGGCAAAGGGTATTCCCCGAAAACCGGAAACACCCGTACACACCGATACTTTCCCTTTAGTAGAAAAATCAAGACGGGCTGACGATAGATACCTTCTTGGTGGAACGTTAGCCATCCATATAAGACAACAGAGCAATGAAGGCCTCGTTGATAATAAGGTTTACGAACACTGTACTGAACGGACCCGAGATCCGGGATTTGGAGATTCCGTTATCGATAAATTTCGATAAGGACGATATCAATAAATTAGTTAATACAACCTGGTTAAAAGTGATAATCAGAAACAAAGTGCCGGTTAGTGAAAGGAGAAGATTAAGGCTTATTTATAATGGACGGGTTTTGAATCAAACGACTAATTTCCGTAAAGATGTCTTTGAGCCAAAACTTCGACAAATGGAAGCAAATAGTGAAGAAGAAGGTGATGAAGAAATGAAAGTTTACATTCATTGTGTTATTGGGGATGAATTGACGTATTCACAGTTGAACGAAGAGAACCAATTGGATAATAGACCACAACAGGTTAGTACCACGCCTGATATAATTGGATTTGATCGATTATTACAACAGGGGTTCAGCCAAGATGATATAAACGATTTAAGAAGACAGTTCCATTCAATCTACATGCCCAATTTATTTGAATCCCGAAATGGTGGGGTTGATAGTATTAACGACGTCGAAGAAGAAGAAAGAAGACAACGGTTAATCAGTGAATTAGAAGAGCGATGGATCGAGTCCACCATAAATAATAACCCCACCAATGAAACAAGCAATCGACCTCCAACTACAGCTGGACCTGCTAGTGGGAATGAACAAACACAAGCAGCCACCGCACCGGCAGCACCGTCCAATGACGTTAGCGATATCAACAGCAACGAAGACTTACTACTAGGCTTGGGCTTGGGCATCTTCTTGGGTGCCATCAGCGTCATTTTCATTCTTCTTGACGACACCGTATTCAACAAGAGACAGAAAATGGCCGTCTTTGCTGGGGTCTTCATCAACGTTTCCTTTGCCATTGTCCGGGGGCAATGGATATAGGTATAAATACTCATACATACATCATAAATACACTCATAAATTCATAAATACACTCATAAATTCATAAATACACTCATAATGCATGTACTCAATACATATCTACATCTGTTTGACCTGCCGGCCCTCAGTCATCTCTATACGATCCGAAGATCCAATCACTGAAAGGGCACTAAGATGGTCGTTGGTCCATCACTGGATATTATTCTCGCCGAGAACTTGACGCTCGCCAACTCGTAGGGATATCTGAAAAAGACAAGCAACACGGTAATAGTTCTGGCTGCCGCACAAAGAAGAAAAACCTCTTTCTTTTCACGAAGAAGGTGGATCTGATGCTCTTTATATACTTTTCCAGGGAAGAGAAGAGGCGTGTGCGCACCGCGAAAAATCGGTACGACCGCATCGCTTCCCTATCGAGTATTTATGTCCCGTGGACAGCGAAGGTATGGGAGCAGAACCCCCGACAAACCCATTGGATAGAGATTCGGGGAGGTGATGGGGGTTCTTTTGGCCCGACGGTATGGTTGGACGAGGTTTTCTGGTGGATTGGAGCCAATTCTACATCTTGAGTAATCTGCCCATTCTTACTGGATAAGCTACAGCACCATTATTTAGGGCCGGTTTCGCCTCGATCAAAGTTACAAAATAGGATTGATATCTCCACTTTGACTACTGACTCGTCCCCTCACCCAATCACCGTGCTCTTTGGAAGAGCACAGTGGGTAGGAAAGGAGTTAGAGCAGTGGTAGTACAATTGGGTAATAAAAGAATAGCAGAAGTAGTAGTAATAGTAGCAGTATAAGTAGAAGCAGAAGTAGTAGTAGTAGTAGTAGTAGTATTGTTCTTGTGCTCGCACGCCATTTATAATTTTTGAAAAATTAGATATTAGGAATTTCCTTTAATTGATCTAGTCTTTTATCAATTGTATAATATTTCATTGATTTTGATAGAAAGAAGCCTTAGATTATAAAGAGTAATTGAAATAGTTAGTAAGATGTCTTCAGTCGAAACACCCAAACCATTGCCATTCATATATCAGTTCTTATCAGGAGCCATTGCTGGGGTTTCTGAAATCTTAGTCATGTATCCTTTGGATGTGGTTAAAACAAGACAACAATTGGCTACTACCGATGCTTATAACGGTACTATCAAATGTATAAAGAAAATTGTTAAAGAAGAAGGGTTTTCTCGTTTATATAAAGGGATTACTGCTCCAATTTTGATGGAAGCTCCTAAAAGAGCTACAAAATTCGCTGCTAATGATGAATGGGGGAAGGTTTATCGTAAAGCTTTTGGAGTTACTACCATGTCTCAATCTTTAGCTATCTTAACTGGTGCCACTGCCGGTGCCACCGAATCTTTTGTTGTTGTCCCCTTTGAATTGGTTAAGATTAAATTACAAGATAAAACCTCTAAATTTAATGGTATGGGCGAAGTTGTTAAACATATCGTGAAAGAAAATGGTGTTCTTGGTTTATATAAAGGTTTAGAATCAACTTTATGGAGACATATTATGTGGAACGCCGGTTATTTTGGTTTGATCCATCAAGTTAGATCAATAATGCCAAAACCAAAAAGCTCTTCTGAAAAAACTTTAATTGATTTAACTTGTGGTACTATTGGTGGGACTTTTGGTACGGTATTGAATACTCCATTTGATGTGGTTAAATCAAGAATTCAAGCCGGTTCAACTAGATATATTTGGACTTTCCCTTCGTTAATCACCGTTTTCAAAGAAGAAGGTTTTGCCGCTTTATATAAAGGTTTTATTCCAAAAGTCTTGAGATTAGGTCCTGGTGGTGGTATCCTTTTGGTGGTTTTCACCGCAGCAATGGATTTCTTTAGAACTATTCATGAAGGTAAGTAGGTCTTTAATTTTTATAATATATATTTTTGCTTCTACCATTTGGAATTATATAAACTATAAAAAACTTCTAATAATTCCTCTTCATTCTCATAGATATAATCGTATGACTTATTCAAGAATTTGAAAGTCGATTTGTAATTATAACCAACCGTTTCGTGTTTGGTGGTGGTAGTATTGGTAAAATTGATAATTTTACTAATCATTTCCGGTGAATCAAAATCAATATGCATCAAATCAAACTTATCCTTAGCCTCTCCCTCGTCTTCCTTGTTATCTAATTTGATTATACCAAATTCATCAATGAAGTATTGGAAACATCTTTTGATATTTGGGAAATTCTCGTCGTTAGAAATATATTTATCAAAGGCGGCCTTAACACTTTCAAAATTTAATAATAATTCATAAATAAGCTCATAGTTAATTGATTTAAGTAAATGATTCCCTTGTGATTTGCTTTGGAATTCATCGCTGTTGAATTGAATTATTTGATTAAATTCATCTTCTAATAATAATTCAAATATTAAAAAAATCTCCTCAATTAATGATTTTATTGATTCTTTGGATTTATTGCAATACTGCTTATTGATAAACTTAATCACATGAATCAATGTCTTGTACAATTCAATCCATGGATAATTACCCAATTGTTTTTCTAATTCTTCTGGTTTTTCTCCTTCATTAATATTCTTTTTAAATTTTAATAATATTTGGTAAAGTATGGTGTTTGCAATTTTAAAACTTTCAATATTTAATTTTTTGGTTAAATTAAATCTGAGTAATACTTGTAAACAGTCCATTATATATAATAAACTGTTTTTAAACCCTTCCTTGATTATATTGTTTGGAATTATTGGTAGCTTATGATGACAAATTTTCCATTTAAATTCATTAATTTGATAATTAAGTAAGTTATCAACTAAGTGGAAGCTTTCTTCATCAGTTTTAACCTGACTGTTCATAGATGTTAATCTAAGTAATATAACCAACAGAAGTCTACTGACATGTTTATTAATGGATGATTTAAATTGATATTGGAAAACATATGAAAGTAAACAAACCCATATTTCAAATAACTCAACGCTTTCGATATCTTTGTTAAGTAAATCTTCAACTTTATGATTATTATAGTTCATTTGCTTAGTGAAAATTTTCAAAAATGACCCATTTCTAGTATAAGTAAATAATAACAACGTTATTGGTAATAACTCATTATTGGTGACTAATCCATTTTCATCATCACCTTCACTATTTTTTTTCGCCATATCTTTTTGATTATATATTTCAACCAATTCATCAATATATGGATCATCTGATAGATAACTTAAATTTTTCGAGTTATATTTTAAATCAGTTGTATCTCTAACGGTATCATAGTTTAGATATAAATTATCATTAAACCTATTTCCTGTGATCCAATTCATAAACGAACTATTTTTAATTTTATAAATGATTAAATCAGGTTTATATTCAAAATAATAATTGAAGTTCATTGCTAAAATCGGCAATATTTTTGAATTTACTTCTTGTTTGAAAAACGTCAAGCTATCAAAGTTTTTCAACTTTGTTGATAAATTTTCATAAACGTTGGGTGATTCACTTTCAATTGTAGTAATATCTGAAGATAATGAGCTTTTATTCACCAACAAGTAATTGGTTGGTACATTGGCTAGTGTTCCGATTATGACATACACCTTTAATAAACTTTCAAAAGAAAGCCTGATTGGGGCTGGTGTAAAAAGCTGGTCTTCCGAATCTTCAGTAGATTCAGGTTTGTTACTTGCAATGAGCAAAATCTCATCAAAAGCTTCAGAAAAGTCCACTTTATAGAAAGTATATAAAAGGCTCTTTATAATAATCATATCATTATCATTTGTATTGAATTTTGTGGAAGATATCAAGGAATGGAATAAAGTATGCAAAATATCATGAATTAAGAAAATCAACTCTTTTATTACCACCAAGCTTCGGAAATCGGTTGGACTTTCATCACTTCCCGAGTATATTTGATCTTTAATGTAGTTCAAAGAGCCCGTCAAGAACCATTTCATCTTGGACAATAGGTCGAATAAGTGGGAATCAGTCAACAATGCAGAAGTCCCTGGTAACTTGAATATTTTAAAGATGATATTATTGGTTTGATTTGTTAAGTATTCACCGTTTGAATCATTTTGGAGAGTTTTCAAGGCTTTTACGCTATGCTCATTTGTAGTTAAGATATTGTGAAACCAAACTTGTAAGATCTTTGTTATATTTACAATCAATTCGAGTCTCAATTCATAATCGATCCCTTCAAACTCCTTAATTGTATTGACTGATCTTTGACTCAATGACTTTTTTGGTGATCCTGGTTTGCTAGAGTGTATTCCAAAATCAGACACGCTATTCTGTTTTGTGGAAGGGACAGAAGGTGATCTGACTGATTGTGGAAAGGGTAATGAAGAAGAGGAAGATACGCTACTTCCTCTTCGGTTCCTTCGAGGCGTTGAAGGAGGAGCTTGCCCATTCAAGGTGGTTATATCATCCCCTTCATCATACTCATTCAATCTGGGAGGAGCAGTCGAGGTCATACTCAGTCTTTTCCCATTCAACGAGGTGATATCCTCCCCACCATCATCAATGGGGTTAATATTGATTGACCTACGGCTGATCCCACTGTGGATGGATTCGTTGTCCTTAACATGACTACTGATCCCTCCACCAACACCCACCTCGTCACCTTCAACACCAGCCACTGGGTAATCCATAGCATCTGATAAGAGTTTGATTCCGTTCATAAACATATCCTGCAAGATCTTAGCATCATTGGCCGATGCTCCGCTCAAGGAGTTCAATGACTCGGTATTCACCTGCAATGTAGACAACAACGCATTCTCAACCACCGGAGTAATAAACAAGCTCTTATAGAACCCATCCTCTTTGGCATTTCGATGATTGAAGAGCTGACCGTAGATTGCAATTGCTTGATTATGGCTCATTCTTTCAACTTCTTGGGTCCAATAGCTTTTCCTGTCGGGGGTTTTCGTCAAAAATAGCACCTCCCCAAGCAATTGTGATTTCCAAACCTGTTCTTGTCTGTCTAGTGGAATAGGCTAACAGTTGGCAGCTTTTCAAAGGCTTAGAAGGTTCAGTTTCAAACTGTAAAGCCCGTATTCTTCACTCAGTTTACATGTTAAATCTTTTGGTTTGTTCCTTTTTTTTTTTTTTTTCGTTTTTTTCAGTGTGCGTTGTTTGATAACGGCTCCATTAATGTCCCAATAAAGGAACTTTTTGTATGGAGACTTCGCCATCGGGTATACTATTCACTTATATATAATTGCAATTGGGTATCACTTCCAAAGCAAATCTTGGTGAGCAGCTGGTCAATGCTTGAGTTTGGTAGTTGAAATCGAGAAATTTAGATTGTTTTTGCTCCCAAATGTTATTCAACAAATCAAGAATTGAAGAATACGAATTGGTGGATCAGACTGCCAATTTAGAAGAAGGGCCTTCTTCTGCTGCTGGAGAAGGGGAATTGACTTTCCAAGAGGAGGAAGAAGGTGGTTCTAACTCCGACACGTCGGAGTTTTTCGATGATATAGATGAATTCAGTAGGAAGACTCATCAGGACGAAGATTTCAATAGCGATTCCAAGTTCCAAACAGTGCTTTCACAGTATGAGGGGGTCAGGACGATATCTAAACATGCCTGTGGCATTTTATGTGGTATATTCGTTGCTATATGGGTTGTTGCGGTGATTGTTTATGCCAGTAACTCTCCCAAAACAATTATTAAGAATTTGCAATGGCAAACCAACGTATACGAGATGAATGGTGAAAACGTTACTTTGAACACGTACTCTTCCTCGAAGGATAACGTCACGTTAAAGAGCTATCGGAAAAACCTCTTTTTGCCTTACCGAGAAGCCATTACCTGGTTGGATAGAAGACAGTACCCTAAAACCAATGGTAATCAGGCGGGTGGTTATTATTTGACCAAGGGCAAGGAAGGTAAGTATGTGGTGAAACAAGCACATACCAAGTTTGAAGAAAGCCTTATGGAGAGTGCCCAATTTAATTATGAAAATAACTTTTTCTATGTTAGTGATGTTAAATTAAACCCTGGAAGACCTTTCAATCAAATGAATGACAATTATCATATTTTGGTCACTGATAAGTTGCCCCAGTGGAGACACCTGACTTTTGCCATCTATTGGCTCTATAATTCTCAAACCAATGTCCATATTCCAATTCAACCACCTGCTAGTGAGATTCTTAAGGACGAAAAAGAATTGGGTGGTGCAGAAATCCTTGAAAAACTCCATTTTGCTGAGTTTTCTCCCAGTGGTGACTACGTGGTCTTTGGGTTTGGTCATAATCTTTATTTGCAGTCACTTTTTGATGAAAAGGATTCTCTCGTCAAAATTACAGAAAATGGATCTCCGACGGTTTACAATGGTAAGCCGGATTGGGTTTATGAAGAAGAAGTTATTCCTGATTATAAATTACTTTGGTGGTCTCCAGATGAAGAAAACTTGGTTTTTGCAACCCTTAACGATACTAATGTCAAAGAATATGAATTGGATTACTTTGTGAAAGATGCTCTTGAAGTCGATAATACTTATACAGAATCTTTACAAGGCAAAGTCGATGGAGTCAATCAATACCCAGTCAAATCGTCAATCAGATACCCAAAGCCAGGTACTGCGAATCCAATGCTCTCTATACATAATTTCCAATTATCAACCAAGAAGCTGACTGCTATTAATATCAAAGATGATAAATTGGGTATTGATCAAATTTTGTATGATGCAGAATGGGTTGACTCCCAGAAGATGTTATTCAAATTGTCTGATCGTACCAGTACCCTTCTCTCCAAGAAAGTATATGAACCAAAAAGATCCTTGACCGAGCTAACGGTAGCAAGTTCTATTGATTCATTTGCTGAGTATAAAGGTTGGATTGAAAAGATCCCCCCAATAACAATCATCCCAAAGCCTCAAGATGAGAACTCCTACGTTGATAAAGTTGTTGTTAATGGTAGGATTCATTTAGGGTTGTTTGACAATGCAGGATCATCTAACTACTCTAAGCTTTTAACCAGCTCTGGTTCTTGGGACGTGTTATTAAACTCTCCCGTGGTGTATAATGATATCGAAAAAACAGTTTACTTCCTCGCCACTATAAGAAGTACCATGGATGCTCATCTCGTTTCAATGAATATAGAAAATGGGGATGCAAAATCACCTCAGATAATTACTGGAATTGATAAAGACGGGTTTTATTCGGTGGACTTTTCAAAAGACGGACAGTTCCTCAATTTAAATTACGAAGGTCCTTTGCAACCATGGCAAAGAGTTATCAACACTGCAGAACTTCACGATTACATTAATTCTCGGGATAATAAAAACCAAGACTCGGGTTTCGATGAGTTCATTGAATCTCATAAGGTAATCAACAACTTCCAAACTACTAAAAACAATTTACAAAACGTTAATCTCCCTACTCGGGTTTATAGAAAGGTTAGTGTGGGTAAAAATGCCGATGGCACTCCAATCGAATTGAACGTGATTGAAATCTTACCGCCTAATTTCGATCCAAAGACTGGGAAGAAACATCCTTTGCTTGTTCATGTTTACGGCGGGCCCGGATCTACAACCGTAACCAAGGCCTTTATGGTTGAGTTTCAAGACGTTGTAAGTGCCTCTCTCGATGCAATTGTACTTATTATCGACCCAAGAGGTACTGGGGACCAAAATTGGGCATTCCGCTCTTTCGCTACGAACAACCTTGGCTTTTATGAACCAAGGGACATAGTCACCGTTGCCTCCGAATATATCGCTGCCAATAAGTATATTGATAAATATAAAACTGCGGTTTGGGGCTGGTCCTACGGGGGGTTCACAACATTGAAAACCTTGGAATTCGACGTGGGCCAAACATTCAAGTTCGGAATGGCAGTTGCTCCAGTCACAAACTGGTTGTTCTACGATTCTATATACACCGAAAGGTATATGGGATTACCATCCACAAATGAAAAATATGCCTCTCAAGGTAAGATTTCCAAATACGACAGCTTCAAGGCCCTCAAACGATTCCTTTTAATGCATGGCACTGCTGACGATAATGTCCATTTGCAAAATTCTCTCTGGCTCCTTGACAACTTCAACCTCAATGAAGTTGAAAACTACGACCTTCATTTCTTTCCTGATAGCGACCATTCTATCTACTATCATAACGCCAACCACATCATCTTTGACAAGCTTCTCAGGTGGCTTTCAGACGCTTTTTCAGGCCGCTTCGATGACTTGTAGTATATGTAACTTTCAATACAAAACCATTTCATAAAGTTTTTTGCAGTCGTTTATATTTGTATGTACGGGTGTTCTTATCCATTTTTTTTTTTTTTTTTTTTTTTTTTGTCTCTTCCTCATCGCTCTTTTTCTTTTTTTTTTTTTCAATTCACTTAATAGAAGTTGGTTGGTTACTTTCTTATCAAGTCTAATTACTTATTCATAAGCATAAAAATGGGTAAAACCTCCAAGTCTACCAGAAAGTTTCAAAGCAAACATTTGAAGCATACCTTGGATCACCGTAGGGAAGTTCAAAAGCATAACAAGAAGCATGCATCCCGAAAGAAGAGTAAATCATCGAGTGATGATGCTGAAGTGAGTGCTCCAGTTTCCAAGGCCACCAAAGAGGTTTTTGAAGATATGCCAGTTGATGAGTTTTTCGCTGGAGGGTTTGAGGTTCCAAAAGAAAAGAGATCAAAGAAACAAGGAAAGAAAGAAGAGGAAGAAGAAGAAGAAGAATCATCTGAGGAAGAGGACGAAGAAGCCATGAAAGCTGATTTAGAAAACTTAGAAGAAAAAGATCCTGAATTTTATAAGTACTTGAAAGAAAACGATAAAGACTTGTTGGATTTTGAAGGGGTGAATCCATTGGATGCGATGAGTGAAGATGAAGATGAACAAGAACAAGACGATGAAGAACAAAACGAAGCACAACCAGAAGCTGATGAAGATTCCAGGCCAGCCTCTGGTGATAAGATTGAGATTACCATTGATTTAGTTAAAAAATGGCACGAAAGATTGCAAAATCCAACAACTAAAGTTATAAAGAATGTTTGTATTGCATTCAAAGTGGCTGTCAATATTAATAAATCTGATGCCGAAGATCATAAGTATGCTGTTACTGATCCAAAAGCATTCAATGAATTGATGTTCTTGGCTTTGAAAGATGTTCCTGAAGCAATTCAAAAATTGATCCCTTATAAGATTAGTCCACATACTGGTGTCAGAACTATCCCTCAAAAAAATCAACATCTTAAACATGTTTCAAGCATATTAAAATCCCAAGCTGGTTCTTATATCACCTTATTAAAAGATATCACTAATACTGAAACCGCAGCTTTGGTTTTAAAATCTTTACAAGAAGTTCTACCTTACTATTTATCTCATAGAAGATTATTAAAACAAATCTTCACCGCAATTGTTGATGTCTGGGCTACCACTAGTGAAGTTGATACCCAAATTGCTACTTTTGCTTTCTTAAATAACGCTTCAAAAGAATTCCCTAAATCTGTTTTGGAAATCGTCTTGAAATTGGTTTATTCTTCATTTTTACAAAACTGTCGTAAGACTAATGTTCATACCATGCCAATGATTAATTTTTGTAAAAATTCAGCTGCTGAATTATTTGGTATCGATGAAACTTTATCTTATCAAATCGGTTTTGAATATGTTAGACAATTAGCTATCCATTTAAGAAATAGTATTAACGCTACTTCAAATGCTAAAGAAGGTTATAAGGCCATTTATAATTGGCAATATTCTCATTCTTTAGATTTTTGGTCAAGAGTTTTATCTCAACATTGCAATCCTGAAAAAGAATTAGAAAATCATAAAAGTAAAGAATCACCTTTAAGACAATTAATTTATCCTTTAGTACAAGTCACTCTAGGTGCTGTTAAATTGATTCCAACTGCTCAATTTTTCCCATTAAGATTTTACTTAATCAGATCTTTACTCAGAATATCACAATCTACTGGTACTTTCATTCCAATTTTCCCATTAATTTCAGAAATTTTAACATCAACTGCCATGACAAGACTGCCAAAACGTTCCAATTTAGTTGCTGTTGATTTTGAACATAATATTAAAGTTAACCAACAATATTTAGGAACCAAGGTTTATCAAGATGGTTTATGTGAACAATTTATAGAATTATCCGGTGAATTTTTCGTTTTATATTGTAAAAGTGTTGCATTCCCTGAATTAATTACCCCTGCTGTCTTATCTTTGAGAAGATTTATCAAAAGATCCAAGAATATCAAATTCAACAAACAATTACAGCAATTCATCGAAAAATTAAATTCAAATGCTAACTTTATCAGTGGTAAAAGATCTAATGTCGAATACGGACCATCAAATAAGACCGAAGTTCAATTATTTTTGAAGGACTTTGATTGGGAAAAGACCCCATTAGGTCAATATATAGTCGTTCAAAGACAAGCCAAGGAAGAAAGATTAAGAATTTTCAGAGAATCAATTGCCGAAGAACAAAAGGCAATTGAAGAAAAGAAGGCTAGAGATGCAGCTGAAGACTCAGATGTTGAAATTGATCTCGAAAGTGGGTCTGAATCTGACGAAGAATAAAATGCCCAAAGGCTGTTTAATAAGCAATATGTATTTATAGATTACAATTAGAGCAATTTCATTTTGAATCGAAATTAACTTGTAGAATCACTCATTTCTTAAGAAATTCAAGAATATAGTACATTTTAAAAATATATAATATAAAAATAAATAAGTCAAGCAACAAAATACATGGGGACTTGGATGCAAGATAGAAAAGAACAAAATAGAAAAATTCAAATCTTTTAAGCTCTAACAATTAGGGATCGATTGGAATGAAATTACCAACTATACAACTTGGAATATTATAACGATCTCTCCTAATTGTGAAACTGAAACAACAACTTTTACGTTTTAAACCATCTTTGGTTCTTAAATTGCAACTAGTTAAAACCGCTTTCTGACCTTTATCGAATGCAATAGCACCATACTTTTCCCAAAAATTGACCGCACTTTCTTCACTCATTAATTCATATATTGCTAGTTTACCATCTTTTAAGTCATCTGTCATTACACCAACTAAAGAGGCAAATTCTTTATTACCACGATAAATTTCACCGGTTCTTCTCCATAAACAAGCAGGGATTGCCATTGAAGTGAAAACACGATCGTAATCAAGTAACATTCTTTCAAAGCTTTCTTCAACCAATACCAAATCAACATCTTTCAAGGTTCTAGCAATGGCTCTAAATGCAGGTCTGAAAATCGATAAAGGTTTCAAAATCCGTTGCCTTGATGAAAGATTCATATAATTATCCATATAACTTTGTAGTCTAGCATAACCTTTAGCATAGTTATAGGGTTGTAATAAACCAGCTTCTAATTTTGCTTTAATAACCTGTTTCAATCTTTCTTCTGGAGATATTTCGGTAGTAGGATCTGCCGCCGTCAAGAAGAACTTATCTCTAGCAGAATCAGATATCACAGGTTGATGGGTTGATTTATTCGTATTATTGTTATTTGCATCAGCCGCTGATTGGGCTTGATTAGAAAAGTGATGATTTGAGATGATGACTGGTTTTTGAAGTTGACTCGATACGGAAGGTTGGTATTGTTGTTGTGGTTGGAATTGTTGTGATTGTGTTTGCGAAGGAGTTGGTTGTTGTGGGAGAGACTGCTGATTTTGTTGTGGATAATTATCATTATTTGGGAAAGTAGAGGAAAACATATTTGTATTTGGAGAAAATGATAAGATATTCGATAGACTATTTGAATTATTATTTGAATTTTCATTATTTAAATTTTCAAAGTTTAACATTGAATCATTGTTGGTGTTATTATTTGTATTATCATCATTCAAGGTCCCGTTGACCAAGTCCGGATCATCAATCATGGATAGGAAATCATTCAAAGAACTAAATTCACTACCAGCATGTTCAGAATAGAAGAAAGGTTCTTGATTATAAGGTAAGGTGCGCGAAAGCACAGAATTTGAAAGTAAAGATTTGCTTTGTTGCTGTTGGGGTTGCTGTTGAGGTTGTTGTTGAGGTTGTTGTTGAGGTTGTTGTTGAGGAGCGATCTGATTTGAAGATGGTATAGGGGTTTGGTTTATGATTCCTTGATTCTCCGGGGTTGGCAAGAAAGATGGATTTTGATTCGGCATTGGGGCAATTGGTTGACTTGCGGGCAAATTATTCAGGTTGGGAGTAGTGTCAGTATTCTTCGGTTGTAATAGATTCGCCTTTTTCCTTTGTCTTGCATTAGAGGGTTCATCATGACATAAATGACCAATACCTCTTTTCACGCATCTTGAACAGGGTCTAGCAACATCACAAATCATATGAGACCGACGACAGTAAATACAGGCCATCTCGACCTTCTTCCTTTTTCTTGGTTTGGACGTTTTTTTGGAATTGTCATTGCCTTCATCGTTGCTCTTAGTGGAGTTTACGCTATTTTCCTTTGACATTGAAGCTGACCTTTCTGACATCAACCCATCTTTATTACCATTACCAGAGGAGGCGTCCTGGTTCACAGGAGTTGAATTATCCGACATTCTAATGCAATACTACTATGAGAAAATAACTCTGGATTAACATAACCTCAATCCATAAGGCTAATGCAACAGCAAAATAACCAAACTATATTCCAACAAATCAGCCCCAAAACAACTGAGTCTTCTCTAATAATGAGTTCCTTCTCCACCTTTTCTTCGTTAAGCTTCCAAACCAGTTATTGAAACTAGTAAGAAGATATTGCAAACTCGTAAAAATCTCGGAGAATTGAGGAGCGAATAAAGCTAATTTAATGGGGAAAAAATTAAGCACAATAATGCGTTGCTATTGAATTAATCCAGCACAAATACTTAACTACTGGATTTACCGAAGCGTCGAGCGTCCAAGTGGTGTTCTGCAACGGCTCCGAATGAGTATCTTCACGAAATTGTGTTGGTAAAAGTGGAACAAGCAGAATATTCCAACGGATCTAAAACTGTTGATGTTCTATTTTTTTTTTTTTTTTTTTTTTTTTTTTCGTTTTTGGTGGGCCTGACGCCGAAACAGTCGTCACGTGAGGCCTCAAAAAGGTTGAACTTGTGTGGGGAGAGTCCGAGAAGCTCCGAGATGCTTAGGAGACGTTCGGGAGCAATTGGAGAGGCTAACAATCGAAGAGAGGCTGCAACTAGGTCTCGAGGCCAATAATTAGATGGGGGAGAAGGTGGAGTTGGTGATAGGGACGTACCGGGAAGGCCCGTGTAAGAATAGAGAGGAACAAATACAATAAGAAAAGATTACATGCTGTAATAATGTAGACATATATACTAATAAATGAAGACGTGAAGTCAAACGTTGACTGCTTCAATTGTAGATAAACTTGCATCTTCTTCGATAGTCTCGGTATCGACATTGGGGGAAACAAATTCAGAGATGGTGTTTGGTGAATCGGATTTGAACGAACCAGAGGGCGTGGTATACTGTTGGCTGTCAGTATCGATGCTTAGGTGGGATTCGTCAAGAGACCCACTCAACGATCCACTCAACGATCCACTCAACGACTCACTCAACGATTCACTCAACGATTCAAGCTGGGTGTGGGATCCAATCAGCTCGCGGTAATGACGGACTGGGTTCTGAGATGATGTGTAGACAGAAGATGGATTCAAGGTGGTATGGGTGGTGTAGAAAGAAGTATTGGAAGTACTTGAAGCATTACTATTAGCAGAGTTGGGAACTGTTAATTGGTGATTTGTAGGTGGAGTTTGGGGTATTTCGGTTTCGTTGGGTTCCAGGAATTCAATCATCAGGGATTGTTCAATAACGTCGTTGGAATGAACTGACGAAGGGGACGATGATGGACTATCAGCAAAATCATTACTTGATTCATCATGGATTAAGATATCTTCTCGTTGAGCTTCTAAATCAGTATTACTGATACTACCATAATTGTTTTGACTTTCTTGACCTGCAAGTAAGTAAGGTAGATCGTTATTCTTCAATGTGTTATTACACAAGGGACAACTCCTTTTGAAATTAATGAGCCAATTTGATAAACATTTTTCGTGGAAAATATGTTTACAATCCAATACTAACACTCTCGATTTAAGTGGCTTGAAGCTGTCTAAACAAATAGAACACTTGAAAGTGTGATAGTAATCTTTGGGAGCCGTCAATATATTTAATTTTTTACCGGTAGACCCTTCAAGATCAACACCGTTGATCACCAAGTTTTGCATTGATGAAGTTGACGACTTGGGTGTTGGACCAATCGATTGGGGATTGGCTTCGGCTATGCCCAAATCGCTATCGGAAGATGGAATCGACGATAACCGGTCACTTTGCCTGGTTATTGTGATATAGTCATAGAAACTTTTCGATGGTATAATATGATTTTGATTGAATATGTATACGGGTAATTGCTTAACAATTTTTTCATTCAATTTGTTAAGACGTCTTTTCCTGAAAAACTGTAATCCTTTGACTACGGTGTAAAACAACAATATTAATATTGGCGGGGATAAAGTCATTGAAATCAATACATTCCACCAATTTCCTAAGGATGCAGTACTCAAACGTAAAAAAGTGTTTGGCTCCTCTTCTTCAAGATACTTCAATTTTTTATAGTCCTCATTGGTGATGAACATTATCGGAGTCTTCAAAGACCCATCACTATTGAAAGTAGCTGAATACATGGTGATTAAACTTCTATATGGTTCATTATTAGCTATGATGATAGCCCTGGGGTTTAAATCGGATTCAACAATACTAGAAACCTTATCAACAAAAGTACATTCACCTCTCAATACCACGAATATCTTACCATAATATTCTGGGTATTCTGTCCCATTAATAGCTTCACATGCCAGTCCAGGGAAAATTTTATATTGTTCATTCATCTCATTGGTAATGATCGAACTAAATGATGCATATCTACCAATTAGTTGATTGGGAGTAACTTTAGTATCATCGCCATATAAGGACAAATTGTCTGGGAACTCTACGGAAGTATTGAATTCGATAAAGGAGTCTATTGGGAAAACTGAATTCATAACCCCATTTAGTGGGAAATCAAGATCAAAATCATTATGTATCATCCTTCTCGTATAAGTTTCCGCATCAGTGAACACCCCTTCATCTCCGCCCAAATGTAGACCGTTGGGTAAATACATTTCTTTGAACTCTTTGATTGAGTTTCTTGTTAAAAATAAAGCATCCTCTATATCAAGCTGAGATGATTTTACTAGATTAATAATAATGAAAATTAAAGATATGATACTGCATGCCACCCATATCCTGGGTTGGAATAACGATCTAGTTCCACGCTCAGCTTCCGTTGTAATATAGTTGGAATTCATGATTTTGTGCAAATCACCGACTTGATATGGAGTAAAGATTTTTTTAGATCTCCTTCTTTAATAATTAAAATGACGCTTTGAACCAGCGAAACGTCACAACAAACTATGCTAGCTAGGCTAATGTCTATAGCTTGAGATCTTATTATCACTTGGACTTGGAACTTATTATAATATAAACCTTTTCCCCATAATAAATCACACAAGACTTCAATTGTATCAGATTTTTTTTTTTTTAAGGAAAATCGAAAGGTCGATCTACGCAATAGGAAAAAATTACAATGGAGTCGTGTCACGCAGTAATCAACAGAGATATAAAAGGATAGAAGTCTACTGGAACTGGATATCAAGTAAGATTCGCTAGATTGGATGTTTCGTGTAGCTCAATGGACCGGCAAGGAATAATCTCCGTGAAATTTGGGTTTGGATAAGTGGTTGGTAGTCCGTTTTCGCTCGCTGTATGATTTTTTGCAACTATTATAAATTAGTTAAACTTTTAATTTTATAAACTATCATACACGTTAATACATACAAATACTATTTAAAGATGGTCTCTATTAGAAGACATCCCCTAATTTCAATCTAGGAGCAATATTCATGGATAACAATTCTTGGAATAATAACTTAGCAGCGTAAGGAATAGTCATCTTGATAACATGGTCACTACTCTTACAAGTAGTACACCAACTGTTGTAACCCATCAACCCACAGTTATTACATACATCAACTTCGAAAGCATCGGAGGAGATCATTAATCTTTCCAATAATAATTGGGAGGCACCATATGCAATGACACAATCTCTTTCCATTTCCCCTAATCTCAAACCACCATCTCTTGATCTACCTTCGGTAGGTTGTCTGGTCAAAACAGCCCTTGGACCTCTGGCTCTAGCATGCATTTTATCGAGAACCATATGTTTCAATTTTTGATAATAGATAGGACCAAAGAAAATGTATGCTTGTAAACATTCACCGTTAACACCTGAATACAACATATCTTTACCTGAATAACTGAACCCTTTATCAATCAAGATTTGAGACATGTCTTCTAATTTAGACCCACCGAAACAAGTACCATATTCTAAAGAACCATTTAAAACACCAGCTTTACCTGAAATTAATTCAATCATCTTACCAACCGTCATACGAGATGGGAAACCATGTGGATTCATAATGATATCAGGTGAAATACCATCATCATTAAATGGTAAATCTTCTTGTTGTACAATAATACCACAAACACCCTTTTGACCATGTCTTGAAGAAAATTTGTCTCCTAATTCTGGTCTTCTGGTTTGTCTTAATAAGACTTTAATTAATGTTTGGTCATTATCACTGGTAGACATCATGACTTGATCGACATACGAAGGTTCTGGTCCTTTATAATAGGCAGGAGTTTCACGATGGGATTCACGGGCTTCACCGTTTTGAGCATCATTTCCTAAAACACTTTCACCTGCATTGGTTGGAACGCATTTATTAGCAAAAATTTGACCATTTTCAATTCTCATACCAACTTCACCTAAACCATCAGATCCAATTGCTTTATGAGGGAAAATCGGGTTATTATTTTCATCAAGTCTATGACCACTAATAACATCTTTTGTGTGGTTTGGATATCTTTTCAATTGAATTGTGTTTTTACGAACAACTTGACAACGACCAAACCCACGATCAATCGATGATTTATTTAAAACCAAAGCATCTTCAATATCATAACCAGAATAAGACATGACAGCCACAGTCGCATTTTGACCAGCTGGTAACTTATCATAATTGATGAGCTCAATGGTTTTGGTCTTAACCATCGGTTGTTGAGGGTACACCATGAAATATAACAAAGTGTCAATTCTTCTAAATTGATTATATGAAATTGCACCAATTGCTTGCTTACCCATAGCACATTGATAAGTATTTCTTGGTGATTGGTTATGATGAGGGTATGGAATTAAACCAGCAACAGCTCCTAAAACAGTAAATGGTTCTATTTCTAAATGAGTAATATTTTGATGTTCTTCTAAATCCTTTTCGTATAATGCAATTAAAGAATCATTTTCTTCATTGACATCTAAATATTCAACTAAACCATATTTTAAGAAATCATCGAATTGCCAATCACCATCTAACAATTTCTTTAAATGATGAGCCTTAACTTTAGATTTGTTATTTTGATCAACGATAATTAATGGTCGACAAATTCTACCCCCATCAGTGGCTATATGAACTGCTCTTTGATGAGTATTAGTATAAATGGAGATAAATGCAGAGATTTTACCCGATCTTCTTAAATTACGGAAGTCTGCAACGAATTTTGCTGGAAATCTAGATATACCTATTAAGGTACCATTCAAGAAGATACCGAAATTACCCTCACTATGCAAAGTAGAAGAATCAACACCCAATATATCTTCGCAACCTAAAACATGACATAATTTTCTTACTGGTAATTCTTCATCATCGGTAGTAATATGAGTCATTAATGCTAAATTTTTAACTAAACCACAAGCTTCCCCTTCTGGAGTATCAGAAGTACACAACATCCCAAATTGAGAAGGTTGCAAAGCTCTAGGACCCGAGACTTTACGAGACTTTTCGAATTGCGATGCAATACGAGTCATCATACCTAATGCTGAGATATAAGATAATCTTGATAGAACATGAGTGACACCGGCTCTTTCCATCTTGAAACGCTTTAAAGACCAGTTACCTGTAGAAATGGCTCTATTCATACCAGTGGTGATGTTATTTGAATGGATATTTATGGACAATAATGCATCAAACTCTGAAGTACGACTTGGTTTTTTCAATATTTTATCAATATTGGCCTTAAAATCACTATTAAATTTTTTGAATAAATCTTCGAATAATAAAGACATAAGTTGACCGGCCAATTCCAATCTTTTATTACCAACGTAATCTCTATCGTCCACCATACTTGGATCATCCATGGTCATTAAAACTCTACGAGCCATAGTAGATATATATAATGCCTTTTCACGGAATTGTAAACCAGAGACGGTAAGATGAGCAATGATAGTGGTGGCAACGGCTTCAATACCTTCTTGAAGTTGAGATAATTTTGGAGCACCAGCACGTCTCACGGTTTTAACTCTTTTACCAACATAGTTTAATGCTTGTTGTTGAGTAAATACTTCGAGTTTAGCAGCTTCTTCGAAATTAGCAACGAATAAGTCTTGATACTGGGGATTACTTCCACAAATCAATTGCAATATTTCTAAATCAGAAGTGATACCAGCTGCTTTCAAGATGATAACAATAGGAATGTCTTCACTAATAGAGTTATGCTTTAAATAAATCTTATCATTCTTAGTAATCACATAAGTTTTGGATTTTCTTTCGTGAGTCGAAGAAGTGACCGATGCTTGCACTATCCCCTTTTTCTCATCTGCTTCTACAATGATTCTATTCTTCGATAATTGTTCTTGAACCAAAATAACTTTTTCAGTACCGTTGACAACAAAGTATCCACCGGGATCAATAGGACACTCATCAAAGCGAGCCATCTGTTGCTCATCAATACCATCAAGAATGCATTTATTGGATCTCAACATGATTGGCATTCTCCCGATTTCCAAATCTTTTTGAATAATCACTTTACGCCCTCTAGTGTATTCAACATCGATATAAATTGGGGCAGAATAAGTCAAATCACGTAAACGACATTCATGAGGTGGCAAAATAACCTGCTTGGTATTAGGAGCAGACGTAGACTTATGACCCACTCTAATATCAAGATACTTAACGTAAAATTCGGGATCGACATCTGATAGCACAAGCTCATTAGCCTTGATAATCTTCTTCAAGTCCACATCCACGAAATAATTGAACGAGTCCAAATGCTGTTTGACCAACCCTTTCACTTTCAAAAAAGCTGGAAGCAAATGCCACTTATCTTCTGCTGTATTGATAGGATCATGAAATTTTTTCCCCTTGTAGTCTTCCTTCAATAGATCTTGAAATGCTTCATCGTGCTCCATTACATCTGGATGTTGATGAGGTGCCTTTCTTTTTGGTGGCACCATTGTCACTGAAAGTTTCTCGGTTTACTTAGTGCTTTCAACAGGTCAAAGTAATAGAATTAGACCAAAAATCAATTCACTCGACTTAATGATTTATAATCTCATCAGGATGAGCTTTTTTTTTCAGTATTATTTTTTTTTGTGAGAGGAAAGTTGATGATTATGTCAGCAGAACCGGTATCAAAGCATATACTGAAAAAAAAAAGATCGGTCTCTTAAATAAAGAAAGACCCTGTTTTCACCAAATTGAACAGACTTAAAAGAAGCCAGAGATGTCGTCAAGTACTTTATTCAAGGCCACGGTTAACGAGCATCTAGAGAACCTACCGAAACCTATTCAATCCAAGTTGTACGAGGCACCGGCCACCTGCTTGTCGATTTATCGGTTGCTACCACCAATGGCGAAATTTTTCATAATGTCGATGTTATTTCACGACAAACCGGTTGCATATAAGGATTTAGAAAGGATATGTAAACCCAATACCAAGAAGTTGCAGTTTGAAGCGTTCAATCGCTTGAAGGCGTTGCATTTGATTGACGAGGATCAAGGGAGAAGCCATTTAAAGCTACATCCGATCTTCAAGCAAAATTTTAGAGATTGTCTTACTGGAAGTCAGGCTTCTAATGCATTCGGGAACTTGTGTACTACGGCGGATAAGCATCAGGTGGACGTGAAGTTTTTGGACCAATTTGCATCGCAGAAATGGGAAACCATTCTACATTTCATGGTGGGGACAGAATTGGGTGTAGATCCTTCAAAGTCGGTTTTATCATTGCTAAAACTGGGTGGGTTGATGGAAGGTCCGGGTACTAGTCCTAGAAACTTGAAGATCACCAATGAAGGGTTTCAGTTTTTGCTTCAGGATGTGAACGCACAAATTTGGACATTTTTATTACAATATTTGAATTTGACTCAAGATTTGAACATGGACCCGGTCGATGTTTTGAATTTCATCTTCATTTTGGGTTCGTTGGAATTGGGCAAGAGCTATACTGTTTCTAGTTTAAGTGCAACCCAAGTGAGTATGTTGGCCGATTTGAAAGATTATGGTTTAATATATCAAAGATCGGATAGTTCTAGTAGATTTTACCCAACTAGATTGGCTACTACTTTAACGTCAGAGTCTGCTGCATTGAGAAGCCCTTCGGCGGCAATGGAGCATGCATTGCAAAGTACCACCACTGCAGAAGGTGGCGACGATGCTAGTGCCATTCAAAATTCAGTTAGCGCTGGTATTGCATCAGCTCAAGGTACAGTGATTATCGAGACTAATTTTAAGATCTACGCATATACAAATTCACCATTAGAAATTGCTGTTTTGAACCTTTTCGTTAATTTAAAAATAAGATTTTCAAATATGGTTTGCGGACAAATCACTCGTGAGTCTATAAGGCATGCTCTATTGAATGGTATTACTGCTGATCAAATCATTAGATTTTTAGAAACTCATGCCCATCCCCAAATGAGGTTATTAGCTAAAGAAAAATTAGATAAAAAAATCGAATTCGATACAAGTCATAATATTAATACTGCTGGTGGGGCCCCACAATCACAAGTTTATGGAGAAAATGGTACTGTTGCTCAACACAAACTCGAGGTTTTACCCCCAACTGTCGTTGATCAAATTAAATTGTGGCAATTAGAATTGGACCGTATACAAACATTCGAAGGATATCTTTTCAAAGATTTCCAAAATCAACAAGAATATGATTATTTGAGTAATTATGCACAGGAAATCGGTGTTCTTATCTGGGGGGATAAAGTCAAGAAGAAGTTTTTTGTTACTCCTGAAGGTATGGATCAAGTTGCAATCTTTGCTAACAGAAAATAGTCATAACTTTTTTGCATCGCTTTTTTTTTTTAAATAGTATAATGTTTGTTACAACTCTTATTATTGAAACTATTTACAAATGTAGAGTTTTATAGACACAAAAAATATATATACAAGATCACCCCAGGCAGGAATCACAATTTTCGGGGTCTTTAATATTACAAGCAATAGGTGTATTATCGTAAATGTCGTAGGTTTCGTCATCATGGTGTTTAGATTTCTTTAAAGGTAGATCATCTAAATCGTGTTTTCGTTTGCTAGAAGACTTTGAAGTATTGCAATCTTCATCAGTGATACTCACTGTGGGGGAAAGTGTAGTAGACAGGGATTTTTCTTTTATGAATGAAGTCAAAGATCCCGGTATTTTAACAGGTGGTGGTGAATAATGAACTTGACTGAAGGAGGTAACCGGTATGTATTTACATCTTTTCAAAAGAGAAATGTCAGCCACTTTCGCTGAATAATTAATTTTATCTGCCTCTGAAGCATCAACAGTGAATTGGATAGCTCTTGAAGCAGCTTGAGTTCTAAGGTAATACATACCAGTTTTCAAGCCTTTTTCCCAAGCGTAAAAATGACAGCTGGTTAATTTACCAAACGTTGGATTTTGTAAATGAATATTCATACTCTGCAGTTGATCAATAAATTTCCCCCTATCAGCAGCTAAATCTATAATGGTACGCTGACTCAATTCCCAGGTGGTTTTATATAATTTTTTTAAACTTTCTGGAATTACTGGAATTTTTTGAATAGAGCCTTGATTGATCAAGATCGAGTTTTTCATCGAGTCATTCCATATCCCAAGGTCAATTAAGTCTTTCAATAAGTACTTATTAACAATTTGGAACTCACCTGATAAGACGCGACGAGTATAAATATTGGAAGTTAAAGGCTCGAAGCATTCATTAAAACCAAGAATTTGGGATGTTGATGCCGTTGGCATGGGTGCAACCAATAAAGAGTTTCTTAAGCCATGTTTTCCAACGCGATTTTTCAACTCATCCCAATCATTAAACAAGTCTGAGGGTTTGTGATTCCAAAGGTCAAACTGTAGTTTACCTTCAGAAGCTGGAGAGCCGGCAAAAGTTTCATATGGACCGTACTCGATAGCCAATTCGGTTGAAGCTTCTATTGCAGCATGGTATATTGTTTCGAAAATCTGAATATTGAGTACTTTTGCTTCGATTGATTCAAAGGGTAATCTCAATTCAAAGAAAGTGTCAGCTAATCCCTGAACGCCAATTGCAATAGGTCTATGTTTTTTATTTGAAATTTTAGCCGATTCAATTGGATATTTTGTAACATCAATGACTTTGTCTAAATTTTTGGTCAAAATTTTTGCGACATCACTTAATTTTGCAAAATCAAAAGAGCAAGTGGCCGAAGAGGAATTGAATTTGATGAATGAAGGTAAGGCTAAAGAACCTAAATTGCAAACAGCTGTTTCTTCAGGGGAAGAGTATTCGATAATCTCGGTACACAAGTTAGAGGATTTAATTGTACCCAAATTTTGTTGATTTGATTTTGAATTACAAGAATCTTTATATAACATATAGGGTAATCCAGTTTCAGTTTGGGATTCTAAAATTGCATTCCATAATTTTTGAGCTTTAACGGTTTTGAAAGCTTTACCTTGAGTTTCATAAGATTCATAAAGTTTAACAAATTCGTCACCAGTAACATCCGATAATCCAGGAGCTTCATCTGGAGAAAACAAGGACCAATTCAAATTATTTTTAACTCTATGCATGAACAAGTCCGGAATCCATAATCCATAAAAAAGATCACGAGCTCTCATTTCTTCTTTACCGTGATTTTTCCTCAAGTCAATCACATCAAAAACATCACTGTGCCAAGGTTCCAAATAGATTGCAAACGCACCGGGGCGTTTATTACCACCTTGATCGACGTATCTTGCAGTATTATTGAAAACTCTAAGCATTGGGACTAATCCACTCGAGGTACCATTTGAACTTTTGATCAAAGAACCAGAGGATCTAATATTATGTACATGTAAGCCGATCCCACCCGAGGCCTTTGAAATCAAAGCAGATTGGTGCAAAGTACGATAAATTCCATCAATGGAGTCGTCTTGCATTGAAAGTAGGAAACAAGAAGAAAGATAATTATTATCTGTACCAGCGCCAAATAAAGTTGGAGAAGCATGAATAAAATATTTTTGAGACATCAATTCGTAAGTTTCTATGACCGAGTTCAAATCAAAAGAATGAATTCCAATAGCGACTCGTAAAAAAAGATACTGAGGAGTTTCAGCCAATTTACCATTAGCATGAATCAAGTAAGATTTTTGTAATGTTTTAATTCCAAAATAAGTTAGATTGAAATCGCGATGGGGTTTTATTAACTCATTGAAAAGACCAGGGTTGGCCGAGACTATATCAAACACTTCTTTACTTACCAAGGGGAATCTTTCGCCGGTCTTGGGATGGTAATAATTATATAATCTTACGATATTTTCAGCAAATGGAATATTACATTGCAAGTTGGTTCTAACCGCTTCCACTCTCCCAGCAAGTATTGCAAAATCAGGATGGTTAATAACTCTCGTAGCCAAGGATTCACTCAACAAATTAAGTAAAGTATCAACGGTTATAGAATCATCCGGAAGACCTTCAGTGATTAGATTCACCGAGTCGTTCACCATTGATTCTGATATTTGTAACTCATTACAAAGAGAACTCAAGAACGCAATCAACTTGCGAGCATCATAATCTTCCTCGTATGTCTTTTCATCTCTCGTTTTAATCACTCTATGTCTTGGAACTCGAGGTAATGTGATTGTCATTTTGGCACAGTAAATTACTTCAGCCTTACCAAAATTCGAATCTTTTTATTGTTTTTTCCTTTGTGGACTGGATATCCTTGATTCTCGTATATCTCTGTTGATAATCCTACTTCTCGCCTATGATAATCTCGTAGTCTGATTGTTTCGGTTTTGTATCTAGCTGTTCAAGTACTTTATTTGCCTTCGTTCGCTTACAAAAGCGATGCCCAAACAAAAAAAAAAAAAAAAAAACCGTTACATACGAAATTGATTGCAAAACTAGTTAATCACCGATACAGCATTAAGAGACTGATACAGCATTAAGAAACTGATACAGCATTAAGAAACCGATAAAGCATTAAGGAGATACAAGAGACGGTTCGTCTACGGTTTATGTGCTATTGAAAATATATTATACTACCAGTAGATCTATAAAACAGAGCCCATTAAAATGCAGAGAATCAGGAACCAAAAACCAAGGAATAGTCAAGCTTTAGCATTGCGTATAATTCCTTCATACCAAACTCGTCGTCGGTGTCGTCCGGCTGTAGCAGAGCCATCTTGTTATGTAGCTCTGATTTTTCCAGTGCCGTCAAGTCATGGTACGAATCTGACTCGATAAACAGTTGGTATTCCTGTATTAAGTCATCGTCTTGGAAAGCAGAGTTGAGCAGTTGGCGGAGTTTTGCAGCACCCCCCATTTTCTGTGCTTTCACTTGCAAATCATTCAACAAGTAGTTGGAAGCCTTTTGAGCAACGTCTCTCCATTTATCAATCAACTGCAGCACTTTTGCCTCTTCATGATTATTCACATACTCGATGGCCTTGACTATTAGATCTTTTCTTCTCAATTCTTCTTTGATTTGACAGTCAATCTGGCATTCCCTCTTACGTAGGGCAATATCCTGACTCTTTTCAGGTACAAGAGGCAGCAGCTGTGGCGAAACCATCGAGGGAGCATAAGTAGCCATGGTTTTAACTTTTTTATTGGGGGTATCGGGGGTTAATGGTTTAAAAGGAGATTTCCCGTGGTGCACCCTTTTCAATTGAACTGGCTTGTTGTCAACTTTTGATTCAGAACAAGAGAAAACAACTGGTTTAAACGTTTTAGAAGGAGTAAGAGCACTATTACTGGAGCTTCGGCCGATTACTTGAGGCTCATTAAAGTCTAAAGGTATCATTGCTGTTAGTATTCCCAGGTTATTGTTGCCAACCCAACATTTATAAAGAAAATATCAATGAAAATGAAAAAAAAAAAAATTTCTTCCTAAATCGATTTATACATACTTGATTGATTCATTGGACAAAAGAAACAAAAAGACTCTAATTAACAAAGTGGAGTAACAATAACAACAAAGAAGAATTTAACAAGGAGTTCTTTGTCTAGATTCTATTGATAAAGGCGGGCTTTCAAGCTTCAACATATGCATTTATTGAACATACAAATTAGTTCAATCTATAAATGTTTATAATAAAAGACGGTTTGGCGGGTATGTCGAATGTAAGTGGGTTTATTCACTTTGTCCTCCAAACAATAATCAGGGCGGTAGTTTACTAAAAGTGGAGCACAACTGAGTAGCTTTTTCCCTTAGCAAGTGATTAGCCTCTTCTACGGGAGCAATACCTGGCTCTATTTCACTATCCTTCACCCACTGGAGCAATTCCTGGGTTAATTTCACCTTTAGACTTGATTCGATGGCTTTTTACTCAATAGGGTCTTCATTCTGCACCCGCTAAATCTAGGCCCATCTTGGTTTCTATGTAGGACTCTGCCCCTTACGGGGGGAGAAAAAAAATAAAGAGCTCGCACTCAGGTTCGAACTAAGGACCAATAGATTTGCAATCTACTGCGCTACCACTGCGCCATACGAGCTGCTTTATATGTTGAGTTTGATATTGCGGTTTACCGAGTCGAGCAGGGGTATGATGGGGTTGATTTTTGTGGAGAAAAGTTGGCGTTCACATCTCTTTCTATATGGGTTTTCTCGACTAAATATAGTCTCCCAATATACATTATTGGATAATTATTAACTGCATATTCTTATCTGTCAAAAAAAGACGTTCAAAAAAGCGATTTAATCGAAGAAACCGGTGAGTTCAAGTGTATCCAGTGAGTCACAGACCAAACTGGCTTCTTTGTGGTATTTGTTTCCAATCTCGTGAATTGGCCCATTTTACTATCGGGTATGTGTATCGGGCTACACCTCCCGAAGATGAACAGAGTTTACAAAAGGAAGACGTTAACCAGATACAAAATATCTAAACATATCATTTAGACTATTCATCGTTATCTCTTACAATACTAAATAACAGAATAGTATATTACCGAAGAATCTCTTATCAATGCAGTGACCACACCGTCAAAAGAAGTGTTCTTCTTATTTATGTCAGTGGGAATGTCCATAGTTTATATCATATAGCCTTTGCAATCACATATATGATTACACTTAATAATGTTCTTTCTTGATTGATCTGACATACGCCAGATCGACAGACCGGATGGCTTCACAAATAACACTGTAGATTTGGGTAGTTGTTAGTAGGAGAGTTTAATAATGAAATCGGGAAACATTAGAAAGAAGTTTACAGATAATGTCTCGTAGACTGGCCTGAGGCCTCCAGTCTGAATCACTCACGGCTCTTACCTGAATAAAAGCACCTGGTTGATGCTATTTTGCAGCAAGCTCACAGGGGATATCCAAGTCTTAAAATTCAGCTCAAATGGTTTCTAAATAGGATCTGGGCTTATCATTGCAAGACTATACTACTTCACATACTGCTATCACAAATTGGCATCCTTTGTTAATTAGATATGCGTCTCGAACATATGCATCGCAAGGAATGTAAATGCGATAGTCAACGGAAACAAATTCCGCATCCTCATTTATAAATTGACAGCTCCTTCTTTATCTCATTATTTGTCCATTCAAAGTTGAAAATGACTGAAATTGTTATCATAGGGTATGTTCAATTGAATCAATGTTCGAATAAAACCATACTAACCTCTATAGTGCTGGTATTATTGGCCTTAGTACTGCTTATTCCCTTACTGAGAACGGAATTGATGCTGGGAAAATCACCATTTTGGCTGAACATTTACCGGGAGATATGTCAGTCAATTATACGTCCCCGTACGCCGGTGCTTACTTTTCACTAGCTAATGAGGATGAGAATTTGAAATACAGTGAATTTACCTATAAAAACATGGGTAAATTAAGAGAAAAACTCGGTGGTAAAGGTTCTGGTATTGGCACTTGTAAATCAACCGAGAATATTCAGCAAAACTTTGATTCGGATTACTTGGAGAAAAGAAAGTTTGCTGATGATTTGGAGATTGAAAAATCACAAATTCCTGGCTGTGATCTCGCTGTTCTGTATAAAGCTTTCATATTCAATTCGCCATTACTCATTGCTAACCTTTTACGTTATTTGACTAAGTTGGGGGTTAACGTGAAACGGGAAAAATTAAACGATGTAAAAGAAGCTTTTAAAGCAGGAACGGAAACTGTGTTTAATTGTAGTGGGTTGGGAGCTTTGAAATTGGGTGGTGTGGAGGACACTTCAATGATCCCAACTAGAGGTCAAGTTGTTGTTATTAGAGCTCCATACATTAATGAATGTTACCTGGCTTGGAACGACACCTCGACCTACATTATCAAAAGACCCGACTCAAACCTAGACGAAGTTATCCTCGGAGGTTTTTATCAAAAAGACGTTCACGATTCGAACACTTATGGTTATGAGATCGATGATATCTTGCAACGAACCATCAAACTATACCCAAAAATATTGAGTGATAATCCTAATGGTAATAGGATTGAAGACTTACAAATCATTAGGGTAGTGGCTGGAATTCGTCCTGGTAGAAAAGGCGGTGTTAGAATTGAGAAACAGGAATTATCTGATGGTAAAGTAATTATTCATAATTATGGTGCTGCCGGTGAAGGTTACTTATGCTCGTTGGGAATGGCTAATGAAGCAGTAAGCTTGATTTTGTAAGTTTGAAAATGTTACATTTTTAAGTAAAGTGACGTTTTTGTAGAATTTATACAATATCCATTATAATATATTCTTTGATATTTGTAAGAAAAATACCAAATTTGAAAAAAACTTATTTTGAAATTTTTTCTTATATATGTACTTAGATATTTGAATCAGCAAAAGAAAACGATTTACATTTGAATCAGCAAAAGAAAACGATTTACCAAGAAGTTCTAGTGCCATCATTACTAATAAAAGTATTATTATCTTCATGAGTTAAATTATCAATAATCTCCAATAAGTTACGGACACTCTCGTCAGGGTATATAGATGGCAAACCCGAACTGTCTGGGTCAATCCCACTATCTTCAAAAACTTTTTTCGCCAAATCAGTTAAAACCAATCCTGGATGGACTGCAATAACAATTGAGTTTTTAATACAATCCGAGTCCGAAGACTTGTTATCAAAACAAATATGTCGAGTAAGATGATTCAAAGCAGCTTTAGAAGCACCATAGTGACTGGAGCGAAAAGGGTAAAAATTATTAACCCAACCAACGACTGAATTAATGAAAATAAACTTTTTTGGGGTTTCAGGGTTCGCTTGTTTAGACCAATAAGGTAACAAAGATTGATACACCTTAAGGGGTCCAACAACATTAACACGATAGTGCTCTTCGTACTCTTCTGGAGAAGAGTCAATGACTCTTTTAGCTGAATTTTTAGCAATACCAGCATTCTGAATAATAATATCAACACCATTTGGAGCAAATTTCGCTAATGGTTCAGCTAATGATTCTTTAAAAACCTCCAATGAAGAGCCAATGTCAAGCTCAATAATATGAAGATTTGAGCGATGCAAATCTTGTAAAGCAGTAGCATTAGCAAGAGAACGGGTGGTTGCAAACACAATGTTGTTTGAATCAGCGGAAACTTGCTTAGCAAATTCAAATCCGATCCCACGGTTAGCACCAGTAATAAAGTAAGTAATAGCCATTTTTATTATGTATATTATACAAGTGATAACTTACAGTAGAACTTTCATTTCCCTTAAATAGCTTTCAACCAGTTTATATTTGGTGCAAAATTATTTCCTGCACTTGCATTATATCGGGGTTTATTCTATTGTGATTTGTTATAAAAACCTTCGAAACCTGCAAAGAAAACAAAAACTGTAAAAAAACTGGACTAATTCGGTAAGCAGCATCAAATGTCGATGCAAATTTCGGACTCGATGACAAATCCATATAGTTATAAGCCTAGGTACTCTGAACTCAGAATATTAATACTATACACTGAGATTGTGCTTTGTACGGCGTCGTATAATCTACGTGGGCGCAACCAGCAAGGAATCGTGAAATACTGTGAGAATAAGTACTTCAATTCAGCAATGGAGGTGTTTTTAGGCTGATTCTGTTGAATTGAGTTCCAACGCCAATTTAGTTGAAACCTGAGTAGTTCTAGGTTACGATGCTGGTGAAGACAGATTACAACTTAATTTTGAAAAGACTTTCGTGAAAATTTTAGCATTAAATTGGAGTATCCAGTAATTCTGGTTGTACTTGATTTATTACAATGATTATGAGAAAGGTTTCTTAAGGATATGGAATTGACTATATAGATAGATTACCAAGATACTCTAGTACCATCATAACTTATAAAAGTATCGTTATCCTTTGGTTCGAGATTATCAATGATTTTGATAATACAACCAGCAGATTCCTCTGGCTTGAGTACAGGAATAGGTGATTCATCAAAGTTGTAATCACCCAAAGCCTCTTTTGACATGTCAGTTGTCACAAGGCCGGGATGCACTGGGACAATAATTGAGTTTTTAATATGATCCAATTCAGCGGATTTATGATCAAAAGCAATATGTCTAACAACCAAGTTTAGAGCAGCTTTGGAAGGACCATAATGGGAGGATAACATGGGAAAGAAATTGTTCACCCAACTAACGGAAGAACTGATGAAGATAAATTTTTTCACAGTTTCTGGGTTAACTTTTTTAGACCAGTAAGGGAATATCGATTGATAAACTTTTACTGATCCGATAGTATTAACAGCAAAGTGTTTTGCCAAATCATCCTCAGTTGTTTCAAGTATAGATTTCTGGTTAGCGGTAGCAATACCGGCATTTTGAATAACTACATCCACACCATTTGGAGCGTACTCTTCAATAGGAACCAAATCTTGCTTCATTTTTTCCAAGGGAGAAGCCACATCATATTCAATGATATGAAGATTTGGACGATTCAAATCTTGCAAAGCAGCAGAATTAGCAAAAGAACGAGTGGTTGCAATTACGACATTGTTTGAATCAGCAGAAATTTGTTTAGCAAGTTGGAACCCAATCCCACGATTAGCACCAGTAATGAAATAAGTAACAGTCATACTTGCTTATGGAATATTGAAATCATGAATATCAAGAATACTCCCAAATATTTATACCAGTGGGATTAGTAATCCAGAAGATAACTCTTTGATTGACAATTCAAAAATACCCGCAAAAAAAAGCACTTATCACAACAAAAAATCGAGATAACTTGATGGTCTATTAGTCAGCTTACCTGAACACATCAACGTCTTCTTGAACAATGCCCTATATAAAATGCAAATCTGTCACCATTGTAGCCAAATGGAAATGCTAAATAAGAACTATTGCCAGTTCCTTATTGTATACTCAGTGACCAAACTTGAATTCAATGGAGCTCCAAATCGAAGATAAATTTACATCTCTGACTAAGTTAGAGAAATGAAATATATATTTAGAGTAAAATTTAAATAAAGGATCTCACCAAGAAACTTTGGTACCATCATAATTGAAAAAAGTATCATTATCGTCTTTTTTAAGACCATTAACAACAGTAAGGACATTTTTTACCGCTTCTTCAGGACTGAAAACTGGGAAAGGAAGATCTGCTTTATTAACTTGGCTAAAGAAGGGTGCAGTAAAATCAGTTTCAACAAGACCAGGATGGAATGAAGCAATAATAGAATTCTTGATATGATCTAAGTCAGAAGAAGTATGGTCGAAAGCCATATGTCTTGCAACAAAGTTTAAAGCTGCTTTCGAAGAACCATAATGCGAAGTCAAAGATGGAAAGTAATTGTGAACCAAACTGACAAAAGTGCTAATAAAGATATATTTCTTAGCGGTTTCAGGGTTAGCCTTTTGAGACCAGTAAGGAAAGATTGATTGGTAAACTTTCACTGCTCCAATGCTATTGACCGCATAGTGTTCTCTCATTTCTTCTTCAGTGGTTTGGAGAATAGTTTTCAGATAATCTATACCAATACCAGCATTCAGGATTACAACGTCAACACCATTTGGAGCGTATTTTTCAAGAGGCAACAAATCTTGCTTCATTTTTTCCAATGGAGAGGTAATGTCATATTCAATGATGTGGAGATTGGAGCGATTCAATTCAATCAAAGCAGCAGCATTAGCAAAAGAACGGGTGGTGGCAATAACAACATTATTTGAATCAGCAGAAAGTTGTTTAGCAAATCCAAACCCAATCCCACGATTAGCACCAGTAATGAAATATGTAACAACCATATTTAACTAGTTTACAATGAAACAGAAATAATGCAGCCAAAGGAATATTCAAGCTATTTATATATCTTTTGGTATTATCAACTCTAACACTATGAAATTTGCAACCGCATCTCGGACGAGAAACCGATCTTTAAGCTCCAGACGATTTTATAGAATTGAACACAAAACCAAACAAGACCTTTGTTAGTGCCATTGTAGCTCGAAGCTTATTATTGAAAACCATTGATGAGCCAATCGCAGTCTCTATCCCTATTCGTGGGCATTAGAGTTAAGAATTAGCCCCTAAACCCTAAGTGAAGGCGAGGTTCTTACGGCAGAAATCTAATTGTTTCGCACGATTCAAATGTACCAAAAGCTAAAAGCTTCTTGAAGGGAAAGCATTACGAATAAGGTTATGCCCTACGAGAATCTATATATAACTCAGTGGATGGATCTGACCGAACAACTTTAGGTGAATAGAATTAGCAATCATATCATTATATCTTTGGGTGGCCATTACTTTTGCCTGGCTCAGCAAGATCTTCACCTATCACCGAGTATAAGCTTTAGATTATTTCCCTTTCGGGTCACAATTACGGTATTGAAGCCCGAAAGCTATAAGGCACTACGAATGAATTACGATGAATCCTTAGTTTACCAATGTCCCTTGTAACGATATTTACAATGGTTTTAGTTGGAGCACAGGTGGAATTTTGTGGAAAGAAGTTGTTAATCCAACCAAGAGCGTAACTGTCAAAAGATAAATTTTTGCATTTATAGTCGACTATATAGACCACTAGATTTACCAAGAATATCTGGTACCATCATAGCTAATAAAAGTATCGTTGTCCTTTTGTTCAAGACCATTAATAAGCTTGATGATACTACTAGCAGATTCTTCTGGGGTAATCAACTTAAGAGAAAATTTTTCAAAATCGAAGGTCTTTACAGCTTCTTCTGACATGTTGGTGACGACAATACCGGGGTTAATTGGAACAACAATGGAGTTCTTGATATGATCTAATTCAGAAGAAGTATGATCAAAAGCTATATGTCTTGAAATATGGTTCAAGGCAGCCTTAGAAGGACCATAATGAGATGTTGGGAAAGGATAGTAATTATGAACGAAACCAGCACCTGAACTAACTAGGATCAATTTTTTTGCAGTTTCCGCATTGACTTTTTTAGACCAATATGGGAAGAGTGATTGGTAAACCTTCACCGGTCCAATGGCATTGACGGCGTAATGTTCTTCCAAATCCGCTTCAGTTGTTTGGAGAATAGATCTTACGGCATCTTTAGCAATACCTGCATTCAGGATAATAACATCGACACCATTTGGAGAGTACTTTTCAAATGGCTCAACCAAAGCTTTCTTCATTGTTTCCAAAGGAGAAGTAACGTCATATTCAATGATATGAAGATTTGAACGATTCAAGTCTTGCAAAGCAGTAGCATTAGCAAGAGAACGAGTAGTTGCAAAAACAATGTTATTTGAATCCGCAGAAAGCTGTTTGGCAAGTTCAAACCCAATCCCACGATTGGCACCAGTAATAAAGTAAGTAATAGTCATAATTGTTGATGCCCATCCAATATTTCTGATATCGATAATATTTCCAGGTATTTATACCGTTAACACCTTCCTCTTATTTGAAATGAATTTCACTAGCAAATACTGCAAAAAAAGTTATACCCGTGTGAAAAGTCCGAATTTCCGAGGAAACAACCAACCGCAATTAATAATCCCCTTACCCACAAACATCTTTATAGGATTGAATAAAGTCAGCAAAATAGAAACCAGCCTCTTTCAAGATACTGAAGTGCCTTGCAACTTGTAGATTCATGGCGAAGATATCTCAAAGGTATGAATGAGCCTCTGGATGGGAATTTTTGCAACAGTTGATCTCTGCAAATTACTACTTCTGCAAATAGTGATCTGCAATTGAATAGATTTATTACTACAAAGTTGTATTATAATAGTTTAAAAGACAGTTTATAACTCAGAGAGAAGGTCAAATACTGGAGACATGGAGATGGTAACCATAGAAAGTTTAACTTGATTCAGACAAATGACCGAAGGAGTTGTATCTAGTAACACAGGCAATGAGAGTTTTGAACAAGGAAACGGTTATGTGATCAGGAGAGTTGGGTAAAGTAAGTAATAGTCTTAAAGCTCTTGCAGCCCATTAATTTACATAATTGTCGGAACTTAATGGTCTTTCGGAACTTAATGGTCTTTCGGAACTTAATGGTCTTTCGGAACTTAATAGGGCTTCCGAAACTTAATGGGGCTTCCGAAACTTTAATCGCAAATAATGCTTCAATGGGAGAGCTTACATTTCGAAAATGTACAAATAATTTATTTAGAGAGAGCTAATAGAAACAAAGAGACTACCAAGAGGTTCTGACACCGTCATAGTTGATGAAAGTGTCATTATCTTTTTCTTTAAGGCCTTGAACAATATCAAGAATGCACTTTACAGACTCTTGAGCACTGATTACTGGAATAGGAAGATCTTCTCTTTTGAATTTACTAAGGAAAACTTCAGTTAAATCAGTTTCAACAAGACCAGGATTGAATGACACAACAATAGAATTCTTGATATGTTCCAAGTCAGAAGAAGTATGATCAAAAGCAATATGTCTTGTAACAAAGTTTAAAGCTGCCTTCGAGGAACCATAATGCGAAGTCAAAGATGGAAGGTAATTTTGAACCAAACCCACAGAAGAACTCATAAAGATGAATTTCTTAGCAGTTTCTGGGTTAGCTTTTTTAGATCAGTAAGGAAAGATTGATTGATAGACTGTCACTGAACCAATTGTATTGACAGCATAATGCTCTTTCATTTCTTCTTCTGTAGTTTGAAGAATGGTCTTTGCAGAATCTTTAGCAATACCCATTTTGATTGATAACATCCACACCATTTGGGGCGTGCTTCTCTAATGGTTCAACCAAAGCTTTCTTCAATGTTTCCAAAGGAGAAGCCACATCATATTCAATGATGTGAAGATTTGAGCGATTCAAGTCTTTCAAAGCAGTGGCATTAGCAAGAGAACGAGTAGTTGCAAAAACAATGTTATTTGAATCCGCAGAAAGTCGTTTAGCAAGTTCAAACCCAATCCCACGATTAGCACCAATGATGAAATAAGTAACAGTCCTACTTATTTAGTTGTAATAAATATTACATATCAACTTGTAAGATCATTCAGGCTATTTAAGCATCTTTTGGTATTACTAATAGTTCTTTAACACTATAAAATTTGCAACATTTTAATCGCAGCCCGGAATCTCAGAAACAACCTTTACGTTCCGGACGGAATAACAAAATCAAATAATACCACCATAACCAGAAAAGGTATTGTTGCTCTTCAAAACCATTGATGATAACATACCATTCCAGGTAATCATCCCTAGTAGAATCAGTAATCATTAATTGATTTCTTGTTGATGAATATACGTGAAAGGTATTATACTTTCACTTTTATGGCATGCAGGTTTCGGCTAAAATGTATCATCTCCAAGAAGACGCGAATGGCCTATTATATCACTAAGGCTAGCATATCAAAAAGTAGAATTCATATTTAAACGATTTTGAAGTCATAATTAAGATGCGAATATGGCTGAACAAGATCTTCATATAATTGTTAACTACTTAAATCTGTACTGTAGATAGCACAGTAATTATTTATTTTTATATAAATTATCTTACCAAGAAAATGTAGTACCGTCATAATTGAAGAAGGTATCAGAATCTTTTTGTTCGAGACCATTAACAAGCTTGATGATACCACTAGCAGATTCTTCTGGTGTAATTGGCAGAAGACCCAATGCTTCGAAATCAAAGCTCCCTAAAGATTCTTTGGCCATGTCGGTAGCGACAAGACCGGGATTGAGAGGAACAATAATGGAGTTTTTAATGTGATCTAATTCAGAAGAAGTATGATCAAAAGCTATATGTCTTGAAATATGGTTCAAAGTAGCTTTAGAAGCACCATAATGAGATGTTGGGAATGGATAAAAATTATTGATGAAACCAGCACCTGAACTAACAATGATTAATTTTTTGGCAGTTTCTGGATTGACTTTCTTAGACCAATATGGGAAGAGTGATTGGTAAACCTTCACCGGTCCAATGNTCGGAACTTAATGGTCTTTCGGAACTTAATGGTCTTTCGGAACTTAATAGGGCTTCCGAAACTTAATGGGGCTTCCGAAACTTTAATCGCAAATAATGCTTCAATGGGAGAGCTTACATTTCGAAAATGTACAAATAATTTATTTAGAGAGAGCTAATAGAAACAAAGAGACTACCAAGAGGTTCTGACACCGTCATAGTTGATGAAAGTGTCATTATCTTTTTCTTTAAGGCCTTGAACAATATCAAGAATGCACTTTACAGACTCTTGAGCACTGATTACTGGAATAGGAAGATCTTCTCTTTTGAATTTACTAAGGAAAACTTCAGTTAAATCAGTTTCAACAAGACCAGGATTGAATGACACAACAATAGAATTCTTGATATGTTCCAAGTCAGAAGAAGTATGATCAAAAGCAATATGTCTTGTAACAAAGTTTAAAGCTGCCTTCGAGGAACCATAATGCGAAGTCAAAGATGGAAGGTAATTTTGAACCAAACCCACAGAAGAACTCATAAAGATGAATTTCTTAGCAGTTTCTGGGTTAGCTTTTTTAGATCAGTAAGGAAAGATTGATTGATAGACTGTCACTGAACCAATTGTATTGACAGCATAATGCTCTTTCATTTCTTCTTCTGTAGTTTGAAGAATGGTCTTTGCAGAATCTTTAGCAATACCCATTTTGATTGATAACATCCACACCATTTGGGGCGTGCTTCTCTAATGGTTCAACCAAAGCTTTCTTCAATGTTTCCAAAGGAGAAGCCACATCATATTCAATGATGTGAAGATTTGAGCGATTCAAGTCTTTCAAAGCAGTGGCATTAGCAAGAGAACGAGTAGTTGCAAATACAACGTTATTTGAATCAGCAGAAATTTGTTTAGCGAGTTGGAACCCAACCCCACGATTAGCACCAGTAATGAAATAAGTAACAGTCATATTTGTTTAGTTAAAATAAATATTACATATCAACTTGTAAGATCATTCAGGCTATTTAAGCATCTTTTGGTATTACTAATAGTTCTTTAACACTATAAAATTTGCAATCTTTAAGTCGCAGCCCGGAATCTCGGAATCAGCCTTTACGTTCCGGACCGAATGACAAAATCAAATAATACCACCATAACTAAAAAAGGTATTGTTCCTCTTCAAAACCATTGATGATAACATACCATTCCAGGTAATCATCCCTAGTAGAATTAGTAATCATTAATTAATTTCTTGTTGATGAATATTCGAGAAAGGTATTGCAATAAAGTGTTCCGCTTTCATGGCTTGATTCAGGTTTCGAGGCCCACGCTTTAAGGTTTCACTTTCAAGCGATTTCGGATAAGCCATGCACTTCGGTAGATCATTAAGTAGAATTCATATTAAAACGATTTTCGAAAAATCATAAAAAATGCTTACAGACTTGTACGGCTGAATAAGATGTTCGCGGCTCACCAGATACGGCAAGCCCGTTATTCAAGTGATATAATTATAACCTACTGAATCTTTAATGAAGATGGCATTGTGATTATTTATTTCATCTAAATTATTTTAGCAAGAATATGTAGTACCATCATAATTGAAGAAGGCATCAGAATCTTTTGATTCGAGACCATTGAACATCGATTTACCAAGAATGTCTGGTACCATCATAACTAATAAAAGTATCGTTATCCTTTTGTTCGAGACCATTAATAAGCTTGATGATACTACTAGCAGATTCTTCTGGTGTAATTGTCTTAATAGACAATGCTTCAAGATCTAAGGAACCGATAACTTCTTTTGCCATGTCGGTAATGACAAGACCAGGGTGGATTGGAACAATAATAGAGTTCTTGATATGATCTAAGTCAGATGAAGTATTATCAAAGGCAATGTGTCTTGCAACGAAGTTTAAAGCAGCTTTAGAAGGACCATAATGAGATGTTGGGAAGGGATAAAAATTATTAATGAAACCGGCAGCTGAACTAACAATGATTAATTTTTTGGCAGTTTCTGGATTGACTTTCTTAGACCAATATGGGAAGAGTGATTGGTAAACCTTCACCGGTCCAATGGCATTAACAGCATAATGTTCTTGCAAATCTGCTTCAGTTGTTTGGAGAATAGATCTTTGGGC